TACAGCACACAAGGACTCAAGTGGAATGTGCCCTTTTGTGGGAAAATTTATTCCTAAAAAAGAGGTATCTTTTGAAAAGATTTCACCTTTTTAGTTTTCTCAAAAAAATATTCAAACTGACATTTTTGTAAGAATTTAGGGCAAAAAACGTACATTCACTGACTTGATAGTACTGTCCTGTATCAGTCCTTCTGATTTGAAAATCACAGGTGTGTGGAAAAAGGCACACCTGGATTTTTCTAGGCGTGTGTTTTTTCTAGGTGTGTGATTTTCTAGGTGTGTGATTTTCTAGGTGTGCGATGGTGTGGGGGTGTGATCGCACGCCTCAAATCAGAAGGACTGCTGTATTGCTTTCATATAAAATGTAAGAATATTTGAACTGAAAGCTCAACTGAGTTTATCGAGGGTACATGACTGTATAATGGAAGACCTGGATTTTTACCCCTTTTTTTTAGGGCTGTCGCAGAGTGGGAAATTTGAGTCACAGTTTGTCAGTGAGCAGTTCAAAATTCCCAGGCCGCAACATTTAGGGATATTGCACCAACCCCTGGATGGATGGGGCTATCGATGTGTCATTGCATGCATGCTCTAGAAGTTAACAAAATTTGCTCAGCTCCATGGATATAGTGTACTACAATTTTCGAGAAAATACCAAGACTTCGTCTTCTAGCACTCTGCATTTCCAAAACTCTGTTGACATATTGTTGGAAATCACCTACATTTCTTGATTTGTTTTTTGAAAGCAAGCCAGACAAAATAAATTCACGGCGTGTTTACCACCAGTACGATCTTTAATCCAAGTAAGGCTTTTGAGAATAATTCAGTAACTTAGTTTTGGGGTACATGTATGCAAATGATTCTGTACTGTACGCCTTTAAGGGGAGGAGATGACATGCAAAATGTGAGTCCTAATTAAGCAGGTCATCAGGGGAAACTGGATCTCCTGTTTCGGAGGGGAAGCATAAAGTTCAGGCTGAGGTAAGCTTCTGAAAGCTATAAATAAATTTGGTTTCTTTGTTACTAAATTCATGGTGACTGATATATTTCCACATAGGCCTACATAGATTCACTTTTGTAATTTAACAATAAAAACAACTGATAGATGTAATTGCTTGGTCTCTGTTTCTGATTGTATGCATACATAATGAATGTTTACTTGTTGAATCTTGCAGTTCATTTTAATACACTGTACATTTATAGTAAACATAACAAGTGGGACAAAATTCAGTTAACTTCCAGAAAACATGTTCCTTTTCATGCCCAAAAAACCCCCAAAAGAACACCTCCCAAATAATCTGGACGGTCAGATTTTTCTCAGTAGTTCAGTGTGCAAGATTTCAGCTTTCACCTTGTTATACACAATGGGTGGTTGTTGGTATACAGCACTGAATTTTCCCCTTTTTTGTAACAAGTTGTGAGTTTTACATGTGTATTTATAAGGTTTTATGTGCGCAAGATTTGAGTCCTCACCTTGTAATACACAGTGGGTGGTTATTGGTCCACAGTACTCAATTTCGCTTTTTTATAACAAGTTGTAAATTGTATTCATAAGGTTTAATGCATGCTTGCTTTACCTTTATGTATAATTTGTATGGTGTTTGCTTAGCAATCCTTTTTGACAGGTTCAGGAATTTAATTTCATTCCTTTGTATAAATTTTCATGGACTTTTTGAAAAATTATTCTATACACGTCAGTTCTAACCTTGTCCTTGATCTTACTCGAGCAACCATTGTCTGGTTTTAGTAGTTTTATGGTTTGTAGTTTCATTTTATGGTCAGGCTCAAATTTTCTTTGGAATACATATATAGATTTGTAAGCCAAAAAATCTCAAACGAGACAGCTACTGGAGTCTAGCCAGGGGGAAAAAAAAACTTTAGAATAAGTTTTAACAAACAACAATGATAAGAAAAATACAAAATACATGCAACTTGTGTTTTTCTCTCTGGTTTATTCTGGATCCTGCCGTATTTATAATACTATTTTTCAAATATTTTCTGTACAATAGAAGTCTTTCACTGATTGTGGTTTTTTGAAAATTAAGTCATCTAGAAGTTTTGTCTCTTAGAAAAGGCACATTTTTGGTTTGTTTAAAAAACAAGAAGGCTTGCCTACGTCAGTCAGTCTGTTAGTTAGTTATTCAGTCATAAACTTAATCAGAGGACAGTTATGGCCAAGTTCGGGCAAGGACCATTAGTCGACTAGTGGTTGATTTGTGACATACCGTACGCCTGCGCACAGATAGCAACGTGCAGAGTTCGGGCAAACGTTAGTTAACCATTGGTCAACTATAGTCCTTGAGCGAACTTGGCCTATGCTGACCCTTAATTTGGGTTCAGCAGAAAGACACGTTTTATTTGCATACCGTTTTCAAATTAACTAATTAAGTTAACGGAATATTTCAATTCCACTGTTTTTTGTCGTTGTACTACATGTTACTTCCCTGTGATCCTCGGCCATTTTCAAATTCAGCATAGAACTGTTTCAGCCTCTGCATAAAGTACGTAAAATACCATAAAAAGATGTTTCTAGATCCCAGGTTAACTTGGAAGTGCTTAGAGGAGCAACAATGCACACATCAAAAAGGCTAAAAACGTGTACTTCTCCACAAGCACAGGTGTTTTGCCTAAAAACGATCGTAAATTTCCTCTTGGGAATGCATAAAAGACAACGAAAATGATAGGAATGCAATCAATCTGGGCAATAAATTTAAGCTGAAACTGGACATCGTTTCATAGCAAAGAAAAAGGGGGCTGGGGAGTTGACTCTGCATATGTGGCTGTAAAAATCAGACATTTTTGTGAATACATTCCTATTTGGTTGAAAGACATACAATTCATTAATTATAATGTCGTATTAACATGATTAACATCAAAATTCAATATCCCTGAAGCAAGTGATGCAATCTTTTATTATCGTCTTTGCATTGTTTTGAGCATTGCATCCCAACGTTTCAGCAAAAAAAGAACCTTTTGGGCATTTTACAAAATCACAAAAACATGAAAGTGGAGAAGCAGTTCTTATTTCCAGCCAAAGAAAGTGTTAATTTTTGGAATTGCTTCAAGATATTTGCTTACATGTTTCAGCTTACAGAGTGCATTTAAATGTTCCTTGATATCTCTACCAATAAGTTTTCTCTTTCCATATTAATGAAGTTAGATTTTATAATGTTGGTGCACGTATTTATTAATAGGCGTGGGGTGGTTGATTTTATTTATCTGTTTAATGTAAATTTGTTTCTATCTAATTATTGATTAGTATTTTTTTCTTGTATTTGGAGTACCATGCCACCTTTCCCTCTACCAACTATAGTTTAGCAGTTAAACTTAAAAAAAACAAAATCAAATTGTGAAACTTTGTGGAAGAAGAACAAGTCTTGTTTATAGATTTTCAGAGTTACACATTCAGTGTTTTAGCCTAAGAAAAGTGTTTTCAAAAATATATTCTAAATCAGTGAAAGCCACAGATACATTTGCAAGTTATTTAGTGCTTCTGCTAAATATTGCATAGCTAATTATTGTGCATCTCAAACACAGTCATTTCATATTTGTAAAAATTCCAAATTCTGTTTCACCTTCATTAAAAGTGAAAAAAAAATCTTTGTGACATGTAGTCGATGTCATTAGACAAACATTTGTTGGCACATACATGCAACTGGTATCAGCACAATTAATGTAACAAGTTTTGAGCTGAAAGACTTTTTTGTAGAATACTGTAATTCATTCTATTAATATTTTTTCCTCTGACATATTATGTACCCGGGGTCAAGGGCGGATCCAGAACACAGTTTTTTTTGGGGGGGGGGCCAAAAAGATGTTGGCCCCCCAAAAAGTGGGTCCCAAAAATTACGGCGTCGGTTCGGGGCCCGCTCAAGGGCCCCGAAAAATTGTTAGATTCTAGATGATCTGTAGTGCAATCTGAAGCAATTTCTGACCACTTTTAAAACCAAATTGTTTTGAGGAAAAGATGGTGGTGTATGTAGTGCCTGCCTTTATTGCGACATCACTTTTAAAAAATTGGGGGTTTTTTGTTTGTTTTTTTGGCCCCGGTTGGGCCCCCCCCCCCCCTGGATCCGCCCTTGCCTGGGGTAATCAAGTTTGTCGATCTTAATTCATAAAAAAATTTAAAAACAGAAAAAAATTCTGTCCATTCAGTCCAGTTTCTGCCTAACTCACTGCCCCCAATACTAGAATGGTAAAACCTGAATTGACTTGAAACATGCAACCAGAACTCCTTACAAGCATACCGGTAGTTCCACGTCTCTGCACATGCATTCTGATTATTCACAATTTGTTCAAAACTTAATTAAAATATTCAATACATCCAGCCTCAGGCGTTCAAAGTGAAACCTGTCACTCCTGTCCAAAAAGAGTTTCTTCTGTGTGGCTTAACGTGAGCCAAAAATAAATAATAAAGTATGCCAGAGCTCAGCTCAGTTTTTTATTTGGTTTGCATGTTTGAAGAGTTGTTAACTTGTAAAAAGACAAATTTGTAAATACTCATCTTGTCTTCTGAAAGGGTTCCTTAAAGTAATCATCTGTACTCATTTTTATGCAACCATTCAAGTGAATTAGCATAATTCCCTGAATACACATGTTCAGAATGTAACTTTACTGCTTTTTAGTTTAATAGACCTTAGGCCAACAAAAAAAAAGTCTCCGGTTTCTGGTATGCGCGCGCGCGTCGCCGTAGCCATGCGCGTCGGCAAATTAAAAAAGGTTTTTTCAATGAAAGATGATGTTTCAAAAACGCCAAACTCACTGGTTTGACTGGAATCCTGCTGCTGCACAATTTTAACGTGTTTTTAGATTGGGTTATGGTCGAGAATAAGCTAGATGTGGCCTCTCTGGACTCCCATATATTTGCACTAAGTTTAGTCGGGCGCCATTTGCAGTCATCAGCCGACATTTGAAGCAAAAAAATCAGGTTAAAAAAAAAAAAAAGCCGCGTCGCCGCACCACTTTTTGGGCAAGCTCCATACCAGAAACCGGAGACTTTTTTTTTTTGGCCTTATCAACGAGGAAGCCATTTTTGATAGTGTTCCCTGAATTTTATTTACAAATACGCGATTTTGACGCCCGATAATGTCTCGAGTTTTTATACATTCGAACAAATCAATGAGCGCATTTTCATTTACGCAACAAAGTCGTGCGACTTATCTCGCAAATTTCAAAAATCGTGCAACATTATCACGTACATTTGTTCATTCACACGCGCGTGTGCGGCGTTGCCGCGCGACATAGTCGTTGCGACAAAATCACGTATATGTTGCCTTGTAAACTGTTGAATTGGATGGTGCCAGTCTATTTCTGCTTTCCAAGCCTCACTTTCAGGCTTTTTTTTCGTGTGGCTTAAAACATTAAGCATAAATTTAATCACAACCTTTTTAATTATTCATCAGAGCAGACTGAGATTAATTTGTAATTCGCTTTATTTCCCAACTTTCATCTCTATTCGCAAGTTCCAAAAGTGAAGATATAAATTTAATATGGCCGACTCGTGAATAAAGCCTATACTTCCCTCCACCATGCATAGGTCCAAGTGTTATTTTGAAGGTGAGCAGTTACCATGGTAACATACACCGATATCAGACATCTGATTCCATTGACTCCCACCTCGTTACTCCAGTGATCGTCGGTGTGCTTGGAGGGGATTCAGTTTCGTCGACACAAGTCGCAGTTATGCCGTTGTAGTCAGGGGGATTGTCATCCTCCTTGATGTAGTGAAATTTCTCCTCCATCTTCTCAGCGAATCGTAGCTCCTTGCTGCTTTTCCTCATCCCCAGGCCTCCTAGGTTATTCGGAAGACTCCTGTGGCTCCTCAGTCTTCCGTTGGTCAGCGTAGGCTTGAGAGACTTCCCCGTTTTCTTCATGAAATCGAGCTCGTATGCGCTGCTCCGTGGCGTGTCGGCCACGGGATAGGTGGCATTGAACTGTGTGTAATCAATGCTGAGGTTATCATCCGTGTCAGCCATGGACACAATATGGCTGCTGAACCGATGACCCCACTTGATCTCTGAGGGAAGGTAAGACGTGCGGGCCTGCGTGAGCAGTCCAGTCTGCTCCACAACGCCCTCCAGATAGACCACGATTTCGAAGGAGTTCTCCAACAAATCGATGTAGGAGTATTTGTACATGGGACTCTTCTCGTCGATCACGTGACAGATGATGAGGGGCCAGACTAGAAGGAGATTATCCTCACCCGTTGATGCTCCAACATCCATTGGATGACTGTACAGCGGGATGCATTCCTCTTCCTGGGTGATCTTTGGTCTGATCAACTGAGCTCGAGTCCTGGCATCGAAAAGATGGCTGCTCCTGATGTCGCCAATCCGAAACATGAAGCACAGTTTGCCATTGCGTTCAGCTATCACAGCATTTCGGCTGAACTTGATTGTGGCGGCACGCTTTTTAGGACGTGCAATTTTAGCGAATACGCATCCCACGAGAATGGCGTCGACCAGCGCGCTAAAGACTGATTGGATGACGACTAAGGAGACCCCGATCCAACACTGCTCAGTGACAGAGCGAAAGCCATAACCAATGGTTGTTTGCGTCTCAACCGAAAACAGAAATGCTCCGATGAAGCTATCGACGTTTGCCACACAGGGTTCAAAGCTGGTGTCATTGCGGCTGAGATATCCCAGGTCTTGGTGCCACCAGGCTAGGCAGTACCAAAGACCGCTGAATCCTGCCCAGCCACTCAGATACGCCAGGCCGAAGAACAGGAGCATCAGACGCCATCGCAGGTCAATAAGCGTCGTGAAGATGTCCGTGAGAAAGTCGAGTTTGTACGTGGCCTTGGTGTTGTGGATGACGTTGCAGGCGCCGTCCTTGTTCACAAGTCGCTTCAGCTTCATTTTCTTTCTCATGTTAGCCTGGTGGATGATCTTCTGTACCGACCTGCGCCGCTGGAGGTGGTGGCGGGGAGCCCCGTCATTCTTGGTGACATCGCTGAAACTCTCGGACCAGGGAAGCGCCGGGATGGTATGGTCACTCTCCTCCAAATCCTCCGACACTGAACAGCTCAGGCATGGTCTGATGGGCCCCTGCCCTGGCGGCCGTGAAAATCGTATCACCTCACACTCCCGACACTTCTTCTCTTCTGTCGATGAAATCATCGTGCCGATTCCAATCGATCAAACGACCGGTTCCAAGGGTTACTTTTCCGCCTACAGACAATGAGAAGACAAGCATCAATTAATAACAAAGTTCACTTTGCTGGTTTCAGTTTGAAAGCTTATCAAATGCAAGTTTCAAAGTACTTCTTCGCAATACCCTAAAGGCACAGGTGGTAGATAGGTTAAAGTTTCTCACTGAATTAATCACTGTCCAAAGTTCATAGTTACTAATAACCACGGAGTTGATGGTTTAGGTGTGCGACGTGTACCACACTGACACTGTTAGCTTTTGATGTGTGCACATCCATGTACAGGTACTTCAATCGCCAACCCAGTTCTCCTGATAAGCAATATATTGTTATCATATTTTCTTATCAAAGTTTAGACAGAGTTCACAGCTGTAATAATCTTTTTGACTCTGAGCATTCTGCCTAAAAGGAAAAACAAAAACAACATGTGCCAAAAAGTCTGACTAGGGACCAAGTTTGGTATGTTATTATTCAACAGTAAAAAGGACATTGTGTTATCAACTTCCTGAAAGTTTGTAAATCTCAGCAAGTGGATCCTAAGTTTTACCATCAATAGAGTTTAATAGGAAAAGGTTTTGCTTCAGACAATTAAAGCAATCCACAGAGCAACTACAGTTTAAAGGTAGAGTAGATCATTTGCAGCTATCCAAAAAGTAACTGACAAAATTTTTGTTCAAAAGCATTGTACATGTACTTGGTTTAAAGATAAACGGCACTAAACTCCCTGTGAAATTATTCTTTCTGGCATGCTGTCATTTTCAAGAAAACAATAACAAAAGGCCTTCCAAAGATGCGTCTAAAGACGCACTTTTGGAAATTTCCGTTTTTAATTTGACGAATCCATGAATAGGTGCGTGAAAGAGTTGACACAACGTACTCGTGCGCGCGGTTGCTATTAATTTCTCAGTTCCGCACGTGATATCGCGTAGCGGAAATTGGCTGAATGAGAACGTGTCTCGGATGCTGAGTTGGGGCGCAATTCAAAACATAACTCGGCAACTTCTAAATATAAATTCAAGAGATCCCAGTATATTGTTTTCTCAGCATTCACTGAACTAAAAGTTTCTCAGGTTAGTTGTTTTGCACCCTTATTAAGATTGTGAGCACTTTTGTTCCTGAAAAAAGGAACAAATGACAACTGATGTATAGTTTTAAACCAGCTGGTTAAGGGTTTCTCTTGGTTTCAACAGTGCTGTAGTACTCGTACTCTGTACCCATATTCGAGTACTACTCGAGTGCTTTTTGAGAGTACTCGTACTCGTACTCGTACTCCAATGTCAAAGTACTTGTACTTGAAATAACGGTACTCGTACTCGGGCAGCAAAGTACTCGTACTCGACATGTCGAAATTGTACTCATCATCAAAGTACTCGTACTCGAATAGCAGTACCAAAAATGGTATAGCTTGACTTACCACGGCCTTATTTTATCGATACTTGCAGTTCAAAATGGTTGATTGGCAAACTGTAATTGTACTCAGAGGTACTCGTACTCGTACTCGGCAACCTAAGTACTCGGCAGTACTCGGCAGTACTCGGTACTCGGCAAAAAAGTACTCAACTACAACACTGGGTTTCAATCAACACAGCTGGACCATCATACTTCACATAATTTTCAAAGAATACTGCTTCTTTAAATTCACATTTCAGTGAGTTATAAGAAGAACAAGTTTGCCCTTACAATAAGGGTACAATGACTGTAACTCTCCAATAACTTCATTGATATTGAAACTATGCCAGTTTTTGGCTATAATACTTTTTGTACAGTCTGACAAACAACTCATTCTTTCTACTAGGCCTAGGTTTGATGATATACTTGTGCGTGTGTACACTTACCACCTGTTTGACTGCGTTTTCAATCATACCAATTTTTGATGAGTACAGCCTGTACACTAGGTCAAGTTGCCATTCACTGAAATATCAGGTATTAATTTATCTGACTGGCCCCAAATGTCAATTGTTCACTATCTGCAGATGTCCCAGCATGGGCATCCGCATTCACTTCCTGTTCATTGAGAATTACCAGTACTTTCCCTGTGCAAAACAACTCTTCCCATAGGCCTATTGTACCAGGAAAACTTGTGTCTGGCAGTACTATAACTGCATGCTCATGAACTTTAACATTTTTTTATAGCCCTCTAGTACTATAGGACTGTTCCATCTGTCTGTCCCCGAAATTGACCAAAAATATTTGACCAAAAATTGACCAAATGCTGTATCATCATCAGCTGTGGTCATATAAAATGCACTCTTGCCGAAAGTTTTGGGAAGACCGGCTTTGTGTCGATGGAAACACATGCGAGTCTATTTTGCATATGAAGTGAGACATTGCCAAACCGGGCCTGAGTTTATTTTGAACTATATAGTACTTGTTTTTATATACCGTTAGTTTTATAAAGGCTATTTTATAAGCTTGCACCAGTGAATTAATAGGAAAAAAAACAAGTTAAGTGAAAACCAACATGCAGAACTTACTTTTACGATAACTTCACAGGACTCCTCCACGGTATATGCCAAAGTATTATAAAAACTCTGAATACGAAGTATCTGCCATGAAATTTCACCACTTCACCGCCGCACCAGGTCAAGTAGTACACTGCTTTTGTCCAGTCATGCCCCAAAAAAATGATCTCGGTGCTTTTGCCAAAAAAAAAGCACCTGCTGCGTGCTTGAAGGAAGTAGACAATCACTCCATGCAGGCGAGTGGCACTGAAAAACCGTCGCCCTCAGATCCCGGTATTTATAGTGTTATCTGCTGACCCTGGGTGATGTAATGGGTATAATAACCCTGGACCACTGGGTGACCTTATACAGACTAGTGTGTCATAGTCACCCCTTGTGAAACCCCTCCTTACCCCCCTCCCCCTCCTTCCCCTAGGGTTTTTTTAGACAAGATTTTTTTTGAGGCCACAGCTGGAAAAGAAATTGTTGTTTGGGTATATTTACAGCTTTTTGAAAAAGTTGTAAAAGTTTTCTTGACCCAAACAAGTTACATGTACTTTAGGCTTGCTTTTTTTTCCTCAGGTACTTCGAACTGGAATTTTTTCTTCTTCGGTTTTTCACATTTTAACTGTGTTGCATGGTAGCATATATATCGTGTCCCCCTCCAGCCCCCCTCCCCCCAGTGCCCCTATGTGCCCCCTCCCCCCCCCCCCCCACAAAAAACCCTGAAATTTACCGCTTGTCAACAAAGTGTCTTTTTAAAGTAAATTTTTGAGTAATGGAACAGAAGATGAGTGAAGTTGACTTTTTTACTCGATTCTAATCCCCTTCATGCCTTGAACCTACAGCTTTTATAAAATGTTAATTTGGTAAGAAAAAAAGAGCGCCCTCTAGCATCAAGAGTTCCATGATCATCCCCCTTTTCTAATTTGGCTATGCCACTGACATGTATGCAAATACTCCTGTCCTACTAGTGTGCATCATTTCCCATAAAAATGGCCAATAAAAAATCACAATTTGCTTTCCATTCCATTTTTTTTTTAAAGTAAATAACCAGGATAACATGATAGTACTTTTCCAGTTGTGTTATTTGTGCGAACAAAACTTTATTTTTGGCGAAGCAGCCGGAAATATTGGATTGCTGATATATTCAATAATCTTTCAGAAGGTCAGGTTCTCTGATTGGTCAATCCAGGATCACTGTCACCTTCGATAGGAAGCCACGGGGAGTCTGGGAATAGACAGGATGAGGGAGGGATGCCAGACTATTTTAGGGATCATCGTTGTCTCCACGTGTACATGGGGCAAGAGTTTAAATATAGCCGAGGTTCCCTTTTGTGGAAACATAAGTGAATGACTAACCTAAGAACCTCGATGCTCCTAGTTTGGGCTTTCCTTTAATGAGTGTTATACAAAACACACGTTTCTTGTGTGGAAGGAAGGCATAAGGTCAGAATTATTGGGGGGGGGGGGCACCGCTTCAGTTTACCGGCATTTTTCCCAGCTACATTTTGCTTTCAGAAAAGTGTAAATGGAGTGTCGTGGCCTCGTAGTCTGGAGCATTGAAGCATTGAATTCGTGGTCTGCAGGTAATTCTGCAGGTTGTGGGTTCGAGTCCAGCCTGCGGCTATGGTGCGTGTGCCCTTGGGCAAGGCACTTTGTCACTCATTGCTTCTCTCCACCCAGGAGTAGATGGGTACCCATGAGGGCAGAGATGGTTATTGTGGTTGATTTTAGGCTGCTTTGTGCCAAAATAGGGCAGAATCCTGCTGTATCTGCTTCATTCACAAGTACCCCCTCATGGGCAAAGAAAGTACAGTTGGGGGTGACAGACCGACGCCATCTTGCCTGACTGCAATTTTGCTGCGACGCACGGCCGTACCACTGCGTGTATATAGTACCACTGCGTGTACATAGTACAAATCCCCTGGCATACGTGCATCACACACAAGGAACGGTGCGATCAACCAGCTAAATGTACCGCCCATGGGACGTTGTTGCTAGGTAAAAGGGCGCCCTCTTTTGTTGGCGCACGGAGCCCATACTCCCCAGGGAACTGAGCATGTTTTTTGGAATGTTTCATTGGCCCAATGAGAAGGGTATTTTTGATTTTGCGCCTTGAGCACCAATGCTGGTGGATACGTGCACTTTAACTTGTGTGTAAAGGGAGATGTAGTGACGTTTTTTAAGTAATAATAAGCCACAAATTTACAAACTACAGGGAATTTTGTAATCTTTTACGGTTTGGTTTCAACTTTTTCATACTTGGCACCTTCAACCCTCCAATTCCCTCTCCCACCCTTGATCTCCATCCCGCACAAAACACTGAAACCTATAAACCTCTACAACACTCCAAACCTCAACTCATCCCAATCTCAGTCGAGTCTCGATCACCCACCTCTAACTCTCGCTTAATCTCCCAGTTCCAAATTTCCCCTAAATCCCACCCATCTCTGCAATCCAACCATGTCCTCGCCCAATACACAAGAAACAGGTGTGTAAATAACTCCAATACCCCATCTTTCCTCACTGCAGCCAAATCCCTGGACCTCCACACTCCAGTTGCAATAACTGTCCAAAGTGTTTTTTCAAACCCTCTCCCAAGTTGTAGAATTTATACTTTACTGGACTCTCAAAACTCTGCTGCCCCATGTCTGATTTCACACTCAAATGCCAACCTGGCTTTTCCAAAATCTCCACCTCACAATTTAACCCTCAACCCCCCCCCCCCCCCCCCCCCCCAGTGGGGCATAGCCAGGATGTTTTCAGTTGGGGGGGGGGGGGGGACCAGCATGTTATGAGGGGCCACCAAGGGCGGACCCAACAAATACATTTCAGCAAAATTTCCAAGCCATCACAAGCGCTGCTTCTTTTGACGATAGAGGGCGTTTTATTTATCAATTTATTCACATTTCATAAAGCCGTACGGTTAAGGAAAGTCACAAATTGTTTAAGATTCCTCTTCATTTTAATAGATCAACAAAACAGATTTTTTTTTTATTGTTTTTTGGGGGATGCACCTTGGGGGGGGGGGAGGGGCCACTGGGAACTTGTGTGGAGGCACATGCCCCCAGGCCCCCCCCCCCTTCAGCCTTGGCTACCGGTACATCACAGTTCCCCCCCCCCAATATATTTGCACCACCCCAACACTTTCAAACCTTTCCAACTTCGAATCACATTTACCAAAGCCTAAATACTCCACGGATACTCAACCACTTCCTATTACTAGGGTTGCAATGGAAAGGGTTATTTCCTAGAATATTTGGAAAAAATTCCCATAGAAAGTTTTTGAGAATAGTCAGTACTACCGGTACCAGTAGTGTTCAGTGAAAGTTCAGTGCCTTTGTCTGTGCCTTTGAGACAGATCCTGGTAGGGTCGAAACGTCGTGCCCTTTAGGTCAATCGGATCGGTGGTTTGCAGCATTTCTTTCTTCATTTCTTTCTCAACTTTATTATGAAAGAGCTTTTGTATGTTTTGTTGGCAGCCGTGTGAAGGCATATTGGATAATTTATTGATTCAAAAGATACGATATCACATGTATATGTACACAAGGTATACATTTGATAGGTATTTATCTTGAAGTGATGTGAGCATTAATTTGTATCAGCTCCTGTGAGCATTTATCTGCTCCCATGTACACTGAACATTTTGATGTGTATTGCAAGTATAAATTTATATAATAATCTCAATTTGCCATTTTGGTAAACGTAATGAATATAAATTCTCCATTCCCGTGCACTATTTTGTAAAATTTACAGATTTATATGTAAATCCCCCCACAACTGTTTCAATCATTAATTGGGTTTTCAATTTCTTACCTTTGAGCATTAAATACAGTTAGTTTTTTTTTTGTCAGTTGATAGCATTGAAAAATGGAAGGAATTAAGCTGTTGGGTAAAAGTTTGCCAATGCATGCGCATTTGCATATTTCGTAATTCGCAGCATGAACTTTGCATTGATTAGCATTTGTTATATGTGAGCATTACTCCTTACTGTTAAAATTTGATTTTTGTCTTTTCACCAAAGAAAGTTCCAACAAATTTGTCAATTTCCTGGTGGGAATTTACCAGGTTCGAAAGTTCCTAGAAAGTTTGCAAATCAACACCCAATGCAACCTTGCCATGATCTCTTGACCACATTTTCTAGGTTTGGTTTCTATTCCATTTGGTTACATCATGAAGGAATAAGTACGTGTGACCGCTATCTGGGGGGGGGGTGGATTAAAGGGTATTATTGTACATGAAGTGATTTTTTTTCTTAGGAATAGACTTTGTGCAACTTTCTACTCCTCTTAAATGTATGAAAACTATTTGACATCCCTTTTTGGCAAATTTTATTGAAAAGTGCACTTCTTTAAACATCTAAAAAAAAAAAATCCATGTTTTGCTGATGGACAACTGAGGGCGCTGTTGCTGTGATGTCATTTCAGGAAGAGACTGTTCAGTTCCGGGAGTTTCTGTTCAAATTGTGAACCTAAAAATGGGCTCATTGAAACCATTTTGGAGAAAAGTTTGCTCATTGGCTTACTGCCATGTACTGACACTACAACAAATCGCCAAAGAAATGAAAATTCACGACAGCAAAATATCCAAAATTCTGGCAACTTTCGGTGCTGAATTAAATGTTAACATAGAGGTTTCTGCCTTAAATGACATCACACTTTTGCTCATGAATATATGGAAACTCGCATTAGCACAATAACAACAAAATTGTTTCATTGTTTTCTTCAAAACGACAGCTTGCTAGAAAGAATTATTTCACAGGGAGTTTAGTCCCATTACTATCTTAAAACCAAGTATGCTTTTCAACAGTTATTTCGTCAGTTACTTTTTGGATAGGTGCAGATGATTGATTGTAGCTTTAAAAGTATCTGATTTGACTTTTGACATACTTGCACTTGTAGCAGCAACACCCTGAGCATAAATGATACATATGATCAATAATGAAACAAAGTTAGCAACTGCCCATAAATACATTGTAACAGGCTCTTCTGGTTTATTGTGGATAATGTTGATTACATGATCTTTAGTTTTGCAATAAGCATTTCAGCAAATGTAAATGTACATTGTAAAACAAGTAACTTATTACTGTTATCATTAAAGCTAATCTACAAAAGCGAAAGCAAAAGTTCATTTCATGACTTTCGTAAGCAATGAAAGTTTTCTTTTCAGTGATGTTCATCCTTACCACAAAAAAATTTGTTTTGCTTTCAATTTGAAAATGTTCAAGCATTCCTAAGTGAACGTAAATTGATTGTTCAAGTAACAATAAAAAAAAAAGATTGCGGAATATTTATATTTGGCATCATTTGAATCATTAAATTTATTTATTTGAACCAATTTGGTTTCATAAAACAGCGCAGATTTCTGCATTCTTATTAACATAATTTGTCTTCCTTGAAGTGAAAAAAATGGCATAAACTGAAGATGCAGATGCTTAAACTAGTCCTTATAATGAAATAAATGAATGTGTACCATTTCAGTAAAAAAAGGAAAACAGTTAATCAGCTGAAACATGTTTATAAATATTATTTACATTACATTTCATGCAGAAATATACCTCATGAATGAGCCTTTATGTTTTAATAAGGAACACCATTTGCATAGATGTCATTTTTTTTGTGGAATGCTGTCGTTTTTTATGGAAAGGATAATTTTCTTTTACAGAAAAAAATAGGCTAAAATGTACACTAATAAATACTTTAGGTTTAGCTTCTGATGTATAAAATCATAGTTGTGAGGTGTTCAGACAGAGAGACAGAACTGGGCAAAGGACAACATGAGGGTGTGTAGGTATAAGGAAAGAAAATAACATTATCTCTACAGCGCTTTTTGTTGCACTTCAATCGTACATTCCGTTTACAAGTGGCTGTTATTGAGAGCTCACATTTTATTGACAAGTCAACAAAGTAAAATACTGAGAAAAAGGCCTGTAAAGTTTTGAGTTTTATATTCGCGGGAATGATAGATGGCAACTGATTTTGATAAAAAAACTTTTATTCCGCAGGTTTTTTTTAATTGTTTTTTGAAATATGCGAAGCACAGATTGCAAAGATTATAAAAATATCAATAAATCTGAAAATCAACAAAAAATCACCCCCATTCCTTTTTTTTTTTTTTTTTCATTTTTCTTTACTATGACTTGTGCCCAGTTCTGTCTCATTTTGCCAGAATGCCTCACATTTGTAATACAAAAATTTATAACTGTTTGGAGTCACTTTGCGTAAGGTTAATTGTTATCAAAGACCTGCTTCCAATGTTCTCTGTGCAGGGACTATAGATGGCGCTGTGTAGCCTAATGAGAGCAATCATGACAAACTGCGTGCACCTCTGTGCTCCAATCAAGTTTCAACTGTATTTGCATGGACATCTACAGGGTGTCTCCAAAAAAAATGTAGCAGTCAGTGAGACAATCCATCAATGTGACCTGCTTCACAAAAACGGGTATCAAGTCGCGTTGTGCTTTACCGTGTAATGGCCCGCTCAACGTTGAGAGGGTGAAAATTTCGTCAAAATGTGATTTTATTTTTTTTGTCAAAAATGACGTCTTTATTACCTAAAGTTTCAGGGTTCATTCACAGAAATGTTGATTTTGATGAATCAATTGGGAACAAAACAACCATTTTGAGGGCATCGTGTCCAAATCTACAGCAGAGCCAGCTATTTCAAAGCCTGTTTTCTCAATTGTGTCATTTGAACTCCAAGGAAGTAATTAATAAAAATACGCAAATACTTCCTATCTCCAGAACGGGAGGGGCTATGGAACTCTATTATATACCAAAATGAAAGCTTTACGTTGTGGGCTTTCCAACCATGCATGTATATATCTCAACCCTTTTTTGTGGAGCAGGTCACAAATATAAAAAAAATTACTAGCACTCTCTTTTTGCAAAACTTATCTACAGAGTCTGAAGGTGTAGTAAATACTCTACACAATGGTCTTTTATTCCATCTCATTTGGACACCCCAGTCCAGAGATACACCTAATTAAATGAAAGTATTTGAATTCCAAGTTGGGCCACTTGGTATCTATTGAAAGGCATTCACATACCAAGAGGGTGAAGAAAGTGGCCTTAACAGATTTTGACAGTCTTTACAAGCTTTGCCGCAACTTTCAAAGAAAAGGTCCAAATCACACAGAACAAAAGTCTGTCAAGGGTAAAGAAGTATTCTATCATCTCATGGTAATTTTTTTTTTACCAAAGAAAAGAAACAATTAAGTTTCCTCAGCAAAAAAAAGTTGTTTGACTGCTACAGTTTTGTTTGGAGATACCGTGTATAGTGATTATTGTTAGAGAAGACTTTTGCTCACTTTCTGCAGTACTGTGGGCCTAGTTTGTGCACAGAGTCAATGGACTTTTCAAAACAATTTACAGAAACTATATATACATTGGCTTGTAATCCATGTTTGTAAATACAAGATTTGATTTAGAGAACTTAAAAAAAAAAAAAAAGTTGACTGTTTTTTTTATCTCATTGCACAAAAATGTCATCAATGGAATGCTATTCATTAATTAAAAGAAAAAATATCAAATGTTTAGATCATACAAAGTTCTAAAAGTTCTATTTACATGTAGATCTGAATTCTGAAACTAGTTTTTTTGGGGGGCAAAGTTTGGTAGACTTCTTGCCATAAAGCTCATAAAGTAGGGTTTCCAATACAGAGTTGTTTTGAACTGAATTTCTTGTTTTGACAAAAATATTTGGTTTTTAGGCCACTGAGTTTTGAGTTTCATGTAACTCTTAAATCAGGCATGAGAATCTTCCTTGTTAAACAGGAATTCCTGGTTTTTCTTGGTTGCCCAAAGTTTCGCGTTATTATTTGTTTTGAGCCTGTTTTGTTTTGAGGTTTTTTTGGCCTGATTTCACATCTTATTTCCTGTCTTTGCTTAAGTTTCCATTTTTTTTCACTGAAATTCATTCTCATGCCTGTTAAATGTATTAAAAGGTTGCATAGTTTGCTGTGGAGATTTTATAAAAATAACTTTATTAGTATTCACAGTTAGTATTTCCTTTAAATAAAAATGGACCCTGTCTCCAATTGGATGAAAAGTGTCAAAGTTGCATAGATTCTCTGTGGATTAAATGATATATGCAGACCAAATAGACAAGGATTTATGTACAGCCCCCTCCCCCCCCTAAAAATACAAGCATATATTTGCGTAGAGAATATTTACCACATGGAAACCACATCAGATATTAGATTCCATGAAGTCCCAGCTATTCACTCCTGCTATCGTTGGTGTAGTAATAGGTGATGCTATTTCATTGACATACACATATCTCATCGTTTCTTCATTGTGCATTGGTGAATGTTCCTCCTCCTTGTCTGTGTATTTCTCCCCTTCTTCATCATCATCAGATGGCTCTTGGTAAAACCCTCTTTCCTCGGATACTCCGGTGTTACCTTTGTCGTTCCTCCTCTGCCTCCCACCGGCATTTCCGTTCGCCATCGTTGGCTGAAAGGACTTCCCAGTTTTCTTCATTACGTCAAGCTCGTACGCACTGCATTTTGGTGTGTCGCTCACGGGATAGGTGGCGTTGAACTTCGAGTAGTCCACGCTAAGCTTGTCATCTGTGTCCGCCATGGACACAACGTGACTGCTGAATCGATGGCCCCACTTGATCTCTGACGGGAGGTAGGAGCTTCGCACCTGAGTGAGTAGCCCAGTCTGCTCCACGATGCCCTCGAGACAGATGACGATTTCAAACGAGTTCTCCAACAGGTCGTAGTAAGAGTACTTGTACATCGGGCTCTTTTCGTCAATGACGTGACAAATGATGAGAGGCCAGACTAGAAGGAGGTTATCCTCGCCTGTTGATGCGCCAACGTCTATGGGATAACTCTGAAGAGGGATGCATTCCTCCTCCTGGGTGATGCGCGGCCGAACTAGTTTGGCACGAATCACCGTGCCAAAGAGGTGACTGTTCCGTATATCGGCGACGCGGAACATGAGGCAGAGTTTGCCGTCTCTCTTGGCGATCACAGCATTGTGGCTGAACTTGATGGTAGCTGCGCGCTTTTTAGGACGGGCGATTTTGACGAATATGCAACCGACGAGGATGGCGTCGACCAACGCACTGAAAACCGACTGGATGACGACCAAGGTAGGTCCCAGCCAGCATTCCTCAGTGACGGAACGGTAACCGTAACCAATGGTCGTCTGCGTCTCAATGGAAAACAAGAATGCGCCAACATAGCTGTCCACGTTGGCCACGCAAGGCACGAACTCCACGTCATCGTGGCTGAGATATCCTAAGTCGCCATGCAACCAGGCTAGACAGTACCAAAGACCGCTGAATCCCGCCCAGCCGACAAGATAAGCCAGACTGAAAAACAGGAGCAACATCCGCCATCGTAAGTCAACTATGGTGGTGAACAGGTCGTTGATGAAATTGATGGTGTAAGACGCCTTAGTGTTCTGCACAACGTTACAGGTGCCGTGTTTGTCCACAAGCCGCTTCAGTTTCCTTTTCTTAAACATGTTCACCTGGTGGATGATTTTCTGGAGGGACTTTTGGCGCATCAGGCACTCCGGCTTGTTCTTGGTCTTGGTTGGGCCACTGAAACTCTGGGACCAAGGTAGCGCCAAATTATCACGGTAACCCTCCTCCATGTCTACAGACACCGAGCAACTCAGACATTGTCTCACTGGCCCGGGCCTAGCTGGCTGAGAAAACCGTGTCACCTCACACTCATGACACTTCTTGGTTGTCGTTGGCGAGATCATTGTTCCCATCCAGTTGTGTTACCAACAATCAACAGGTTGTTCCAACTCCAAGAGTTTTCTCTAAACTCTGAAAGAACAAACATCAATGAGAAATCACCACAAAGTCCACATTTTATTCCCCGAGAATTGTCTTCTCACTCCAGTTTATATGAACTTCTGCACATATTGTTGTTGAAAAAGGTAAATTTATGGTACTTGTAATGTAAGCGCTCAAGCAAACTTGAGTCCCTCTAACCGCATGGATAACCATGCACAGTGCTGTATGCTTTGTGAAACCCAAGCTTTTTTTACGGCCCATCTGTTTTCTTCATTCAAACAGCACCAAGTGTGGAAACCCACTCTATAATTGGGGTCAAGGGGAAGGTCACACTCCATGGTTGGAGGTTACAAGGCGTGCAGACTTCAAAACTTCCTGACAAGTTTTTAGCTTAGATTTAGATTCATTCATTTATAATTACATAATTATTAAGTTAGGATTTCCTGCTTTGAAGTTTGTGGGATAAGAGCAACAAAGTTGGCCCTGAGGAATTCTTTGTAAAATTTGCTATTAAATATTATATAGGATTTGTTCATCAACTTTTTTTTCTTTGAATGTTGTTTTAAATGAACATTGGGCTGAGACATACAACAATGAAGAACATTGTGGGAAAAAAAGCAAGAATAGCACAAAGCTTATTTGCAAGGATACCAGATTTTAATTTAGCATCAGCAGACAATTAAACTTTCAAAGTATTCAACAGTTATCCTTCAGAACAGATTTCCATTGATTTTCCTACTTCCTATTACTTACCAGTTTTAGCTGACCTTAAGCTGAACAAAAGACACCGCCGAAGTTGTTGATCATCTGCTTACTCAAACCACAAAGGAAAAAAAACGTGTACACTATCGTGTGTGATCTGACAGGTTAGTGCCGTTGCCAAATACGTGCGCAAGTGGTTTTCAGCGTGAAGGGAAGTACTTCATTTATTGGATCGTGGCAAACAAAACTGTACAGGTACAGCTTTAAAGGTGTGAGTTTAGCAAAAAATATAAGTGTCCCAGTTCTCCTGCATACTTGTGACCTTGGCAGGGAATTTGCTGTAAAAAAGGAAGAAATTGTTTGGATCTCTGATTTTTTATTTTTGTGAAATTGATTTGTCTAAAAGCATAAAAATGATATACACCAAAACGGGGATGGATGGCGGTGGGTAGTTATTTCCAATAACTTGCCATTTAAAAGATTTGCTATGTTTTTTTTTTGTTTTTTTGTTTTGGTTGGTTTTTAAAAGTTTTTTATTACCTCTTTAGATGTTTTCTTTGCTCTGAAAAAAAACAATGTCCCAACAAAGTTAGCCACAAGTGTGTACATTGTAGGGACATTTCACCTAAGAAAGTCCAATTGAAATCAGATCTGTAGAATGATTGCTTTACTTCATCAGTATGGTAAACAAAAATGAATATTTATGATAACATTATGCCTAAATACCACACTTTCCCCCAAAAAGGTTAAAGTGGGACTTCAAAAAAAAATTTCAATCACGTACAGGGGAAATCCATACTCGCCACATACATGTACAATCCCATGTTTTCTTATTAAGTGTGTAATTGTTCTGAAACTGAAAGCATGTATTTGCTAATGTACGTACATGTACGTCATGCCAAACATCCAAGCCTTCGATCTGATGAGATACCCGTACTGGCTCCAAAAGAGAAAGCGGTAAACAGTTGAACAGTTCCTCAGAAAAAACAAATGATATTTGAGGCCTGTTTCCTGAGATTTTTTTGCTGTTGTGGAGAAATACATGTAAGGTCCAATCAGCTTCAACTTCCTGCTGTGAACTTCATCAGGAAGACATTATGTCTCCTTTTACGGATCACTGAACTTAACAAGTAATTTAGCTAGAGTTTTTCAATACTTTTGCACGTACACCACACAGAAACTTGTCTGGAGACTGGAGGATTTACAATTTAGTTTAACGTGTCAGACTTTTGCATTTGTATTAAACATGCCGTAAATTTGGGGACAACTTACAACATTTGCTTTTGCTGTATTTTTCAGAAATGGATGGATTAGGGGGATACAGTATTGTATAGCAAATATTGTATACACCGACCTGTTTAAAGATTTGTGTTTATAGATGCTGGGAAAAAGCAAGAAAGAATACTGTTATTGCAGTCCAGTTCCCTGCCCGTACTTCAGACATTTAACAGGGCAATTTATAGACGTCGGGGAATTGTAGGGTAAAAAAAAAAACAGAGTAGCTGGCTTGCACCATTTCACGGATGTGTATTGATTGCAAACAAAATGTCAAGTAACTAAATATGGTAAATTGGGGGCAGTACCAAAAAGCCATGTTTTTCCAACAATGATAGTCCGACCATCGTTGGAAATAAAAAAATATACACTTTACTTGGAAATGACAGCACACCATGATTTCACATGATGGTTGAGACTATTGTCCACTAACAGTCAAGTAAGGTATTTCATGATAATTTGGTAGTTTTGTTTTGTGATTTTTGCAAATGTTGTATACTCCCTTTAAACCATTTCTCCACACAAGAAATTTACCCTAACAAAACAGTCCTTGCTCACTTCTTTCTCTCATCACTGTGCTTAACCTTTGCTGTGTCTTGCTGGCTGATTATTTTCCTTTCGTCTCGTACCCCACACTGTGAGGTTGTTTTGGGTTGGTTGGTTTCCTATGCATCCAAAGTTCAAATTAAAGTGAATAGCCGCAGAATGAGTTATACTTTTTGACTGAGTTTGGACTCCATTTCTATCCGAGTCACAAGTTACTTAATTCGGCCCAGTCCCTGTGCTATTTTTGAGTTACAACCCGAAAAATAGATTTTGGTTTTTAGTTTTCTATTTCTCTAGCAATTCAAAAAGCCAGTTCGCTTTTAAAGAAGTCATGAAGCGAAAAAATCCATGTGGGACCACTGTATAGGGGTGTGCATTTACAGGTAGTAAGGGAATAGGGTATCCGAGTAAAAAAAAAACCTACCCAGGTACCTGTTAAAGAAACCCAACCCCAACATTTAATTCCCGGGAATTGCTGTACAGATTGTTTAAAAAAGTCAGGTGCGTCAATACAGCAAGATACAAGTGTACAGCAAGCTCATTACGAGGTGTAAATTACATTTTCGCAAGTGTCATAAACGTCAATCTGTTGCATCCCATGCAGCCTGACATTCAAAACCTTCTTTTTCAATGTTTGAGAATTTACTAATATGTAAAGTTGGTTACGGGTATTCGATTCCATAATCTGGAACCGGTTCCTGACATCGGCAGTTCGGTACTCAAGCAAAACACTAGGAAGCTGCAACATAGGGCTGGATAGCTCAGTTGGTAGAGCACCGGGACGACAATCCTGAGGTCGCAGGTTCAAACCCTGCTGCGCAGTCAATTTGGTTGTTTAACTTTTTAAAAATATATTTTATAATGCCAGTTTCATTTTGTTGTATATTTGAAAGAAAAAAATACATCCACGAATAGTTGGAATAATAACTTTACGGCAGGACAACAGTCAACCCCAAAGAAAAGCCTTTTAATTGGCCCACACGTCCAAAATAAAAAGTTTTTGGGGGGGTTTTAATTGAATATAACATGCAAATTGAGATACCGGTAGGAGGGGAAACAAATTGAATTTATTGAGAGCACATTAAAAAAACTCACATTTACATACTGTACATGTATTTTTGTCCACAAAAAATGGTGAGAACTGCCCCAAGCAATATGTGGCTCAATCTGTTTTTGATTTGAGGTAAAAAATAAATATGATCGGCAAGTCTTCAAATTTGCTTTCTTTACAACTTCAAAATTGCTTGTCGGAAGTGATTTAGATTTGGGCTTAATACATTCGCAAGTCTGGCTACATCCCCCAAATCCTGCCCTTCACAATTAGTGTGACATTGAGAAATAAATCGCCTCGTTATACCTAGCTTCCTGAATTAAACGGTATCTCTCTTTTTGCTTTGCCAAGAGTGATTAACTGATGAACTTTATGTACAAATCCAACCCTGCTAGAAGGTTAACATTAAGATTCTGTTTCCTGTGCAGGAGAGGTCTGGCAACTGATATTCACAATGTGGTACTTCATTTTCCAAAATCGACAAAATCCGGTGCTGTTAATTCCCCAACAGTAGAATGACTGTCCAGTGAACTGAACACATCCAATCAAAAGTTACATTCCTGCGAGTCTGTTGAGGGCATCAAATCAAATCAGTTCTAATATTGTTTGAACTTCCTGTGAATTGTTGGCACGACATCTATAGCCATGGATGATGTTTTCCCTTCACCTGATATCTTCCATCAGAAAGTTGTTGATAGTCGTAGCTACTAGTACTACCGTATCAAATTCAAACCAGCCAGCCCCCCCCCCCCAGCTCAGTGGTCGAGTAAGCGCAAGTATAAAGCAAGAGGTCGTAGGTTCAAGTCCCACTGAGAAGCTTGCAATTTGTTCTTGTGAGCACCAAGTGTAGTGTTTCCAGGTCAACCCCCCCCCCCCCCAATAATAACTTCGGAAATTAATTGTTTGTGGTATCTGCTGCTACATGAAATTAGACTCAAACTATAGTTTGCGTCTGCAATAAGTCGGAGGGTTCAACTTCCACTCGATAGAGCTTGTGCTTCTGGACAGCTCTTTAGATACAGTTCTTATTTGACGAATGGCAAAACCCTATACTGTATTCCCCCCCCCCCCCAACCAGGGACGTAACTGGGGTTATTTTTAAAGGTAAAATTGTTAAGAGAAATATGTACATGTATGTACTTCTTCAAGAGTTTTTTTTACAAAGACTGTTGAATCTGCTGAAGGGTACATGTTCTTGAGAGAAACTGGAAGAATTGTTTTGATTGAAAATATAATGTACTGTGTTAATTATGTGTGATAGTCCTTTTTAAGGTCTACTCAATAGCAGGAAAGCAACTGGAATTTTTGCACATTAAAATTTTGCATCTGTCAAATTGTCACATAGTTTGCAGATACGATGAAAATTCTGTTTACTCGTCCGAACCAATAATCAGAAGACAAGACTCAGTCATGCAGCACTCCAAAAATGACGTATTTAATTGCTACATATTTCCTGTAATCATACCTGTAAAAAATACCTGTACACTTTCTATCATACAAGAAGAAGAATCTGTAATTAGATCTAAAGTACTTCAAACAGCACATGTACATTGTACATCGTAAATTGCATAAAAGGTGCCATTGACAGCAAGGGCCCACTACTCTCTTGTTTGTAAAGGAGTAAGATGTCATGTACATTGGCTTGTTTGCTTATTTAAAATTCATCAGTAGTTGTTAAAAAATTCAATTGAAATCGATAAATATGAAATAAATTGTGAATTACGATTATTCAGTTTGTAAACATAACCTTGGTAATCATAAGGAAACTTTGAAAATTACAAAAGCTGCTTGACCGCATTCCTAAAGTGATAAAATAATTTCCTCAATCATCAATTTCACGGTTCACTGTTGCAGTTTTGTTTTTGGGGTGAGCTGTTATTTTTACAGCTTAACATACTTATTTTGTTTGCTAATTATATAAGTTGTCAGCTTTTCTCAAAAGGAGATCGTCCTGTCTGTGCAACAAGGTCGTATCTCCTAGAAGGGGCCATACATGAAATGCGAGTTTCAGAATGTCAAAAGGTCGTATCTCACTTAAAATAACCCGGATGTGCACACAAAGTCAATGGACGTCGAGATACGACCTTGTTGCACGGAGCGTATTCGCGCGAGGTACAACTTTGTTGCAGAATGGAGTTGCAACCTAGTTGCACTGACGCGACAATATTTGTGTTTTTGTAAGGGCATGCCGCAATACCTGTTAAACTAAAATCCTTCTAAACTTTAATTTCCATCACAAATCACCCTGATTTCTGAAGACATTTCAATTTATACAAAAAAAAAACTAGTACGTACTCACATCTTCTACATTGGCACCCAGTCGTGCAATTGGCAGTTTTTTGTACTTTTGGATGTGGATAATAATTTTTCTTTTTAAACCATGCTTTGTCTCAGCTCTATCGTGCATTTTGAGTTAAGTGACGTACTCGTCGTTAAAGATTTCTGAGGAAACATGAAATTGAAACATTGAAATAGTTCTCATAATGGTGTATAACAAACTGAGTTCAAACTGGAAAGATCTAATCTATATCTAGACACACACAGCAACCACCACCCACAGTGTTTTCTTGCTCCGAGTCAATGCAAAATAAAGTAATATTTTGCCCGTCCCAAAAACATTTAAGTATTTCAGTGAGACATGGGGAAACCACTCAGATAAAACTATGTTACAATTAATTATAAAGTTTACATCATTATGCTACAGCTGCACATGTGTAAGGCGCTGCAAGTTTCAACGTACAACCTTCCTTTTATAAATAGTACATATATTTACAATGACATTTATTTGGCTTTAATAAACAGTTATACTTTTTACATTTTTTGTCCTTCATGGCAGTTTTTACAACTGAGGCAGTTTTTCAAAAAAAAAGGTCTTCTTGTTCTCTCCAGTGATGTCATAGTCTTTCTTCATGGTTCCTTGGTGCTGGATTTGATGAAAAGTCTGAAAGAACAATAAAAACAAATTGGTAAGATGAACAATTACTTGTCTGCTAAAGATGTCATTGACCGTTTTTTTTTATAAGCTTGGAAAATGGCAGTTCAAATATAGGGACATGCATTTTTTTTGGGGGGGGGGCGGGGGGTTGCTTTGGTAAGAGTGGTTGATATTCACCCTTTATTAGAAAAACTAAGGGGTTTTTGTTCTTGTTACTGAGAAGAGGTGAATTCTGTCTCCCCGGCAACAGATTATAAACAAATTTGAGGAGGAGAGTTTTACTTTCACTTAACACTAACCCCCAAACCCTTTTTATTTTTAAACCAGCCTAGTAACGTGTAACATGTTCCCATTGCACCTTCAATGTTTTTCTGACCCCATTAAGTTTGAACAACCTTCAAATTTTTGGTTTTGAGATTAACTTGTTTTTACTTGGAGCTGATTGCTCTTGTCTTGTTCCCCAACAGAGAACACATTTGGATATTTTAAGCAAAGAAACAGTTGGAATACAGCTGTTAAGCATAATGCCTAGTGCCCATAATGCTTGGCAGGTAAGCATAAACATGTGCTCGGCATATAACTGTTTATAACACCTCACCCACAGATTCTGTGTTTTGATTGGCCGAGAGCGAGTCACATGGTACTTTCTATTTTTGCTATCTTTCAGTGCACGGCCAAAAGTACTATACCCATAGCAACCAAAGTACTATACCCGTAGCAACCAAAGTACTATACCCACTGTGTGCAAATTGCATAGGGGTGTGTGTGTTGCGCGTTATACGCGTATCAGTGTTTCCAAGCACAAGCGCTACAGAGCTGGGTTAAAACATTTCGTGAAGAGGTAGTTAGAAAAAAGTGCAAGTTGATTTTCAACTAATTTCTTATTCAAATAGAATAGAATTTTTATTGTATTCAGATTAAATTAATCAGTTATCGCTTAAAATCAAGCAGAATCTGTGGGAGAGGTGTTATAAAACAAATATTGACTGCTTTTCTCGTGGTGTAACAAAACTATCCTCCCTCAGTGATCCATGGAGCATTCTATTTTCCCTCGGCTTCGCCTCGGGAAAATAGAATGCTTCATGAATCACCTCGGGAGGCTAGTTTTACTACATCACTCGAAGCAGTCAATATTTGTATACTATTTGCTGAAAAAGTTGAATCGTTTTGGCCCCATCCTAATCCACGCACTATTATCAGTCCCTGTAGACTTTTGGCAAGAAGCCAAAAGTGATGACACTGCAGATGTCCCAAATGTTTGAGCTGATGCACTGCCCCTTTGTTGGGGGGGGGGGGTAATCCATCAATGGATGTTGAATAAGCCGCCCACGAAGCTAATCAATACAAAACTTTTGAAAGATGCAGAACTTGTCAAGTTGTCATAGTCAGACTTACATGCACATGTAGGATATAGAGATGGCATTTGTTTTGTAAACATACAAGTGTACATGTACATGTATACATACTGGTACTTGCATGTGCTTCTACAAAATTGTAATAGATTTTCTGATTTTGTACGATGAAAACTATTTTTGAATAAACAAAAACTCTGACTGTACTTTGCTCACAATTTTTTAATTGGTATACTCCCAAATCACAAGGCCAAGAGCCACTGATCATGAAGACTAAGGTGTATGCTGCAAAATGTAGAAAGGACAATAAAGAATGAAAAATGTCATATTGACAAAAGTTATCTGTCCACGTTTGTTGGAATTGTGAAAGGTTGTATAAAGTACGGTAGGGAGTTCCACAGATAGGCCGAACTGGTTCAAGAGACAAAACTTGACAAATTTCTCACAGACTAGTCTTTGGGACAGTAAAGGCGACTGGATGGATTTCAAAAAATATTGTTTTCATGATTCACCATTTCCAATGATACTTTTGGCATTGCAAGCGGGACACCTTTAATTCCACATTTTAAAGTTATTTGATTCTGTTACTGATTCCATACTAAGCTACGTTTTTCTTTTGATGGCCACATAACTTAACTAATGCCTATTAGTACATGTATTGATCATTTTATTGCTGGGTCCCAATCCACAAAAAGAGTGGTCTGTTTCAGAAAACCAAATTTTAGAGTTTGTGTCTTGTGATGTTTCTGCACAAGACAATCAAAAACTTAAGAACAATCTTATTTCAGCTGCCTGTAGTTTTCTTTATCTAGGGGTTTATTTTAGGAATTTAACTCCTCATTTTATTGCTCATAAAATGGTTTACATGTTGTCTTATAGAGTGGTTTATGCAGCAGTACTATACTGATTTTCTTTAATCTTAAAACTGTTAATGATATGAGAGTCATTCTTTCTATACATTCATCTTGTACATTACTGGAAAACTGACACACATGTAAATTTATCTAAGTGTAAGAAAATTCATTGCATTGATTCATTGCTTTCAAATCCAATTTGACTATACGTTTTATAAAACAAATCTTGAGATATTTTATGTGTTTTCTTCTGTTGTCCATCTTTTGCCCCCTAAAAAAGTGTAGAGTCCAACAACCATTTTAGATAGCCCATTGCAAGTACATATAAATACATGTACCTACGGTAACTGTTAACAGTTATTTGTTGATGAGGTTCTCTTTTTAACACTGTGACAGGGCACTGTGTTCAAAATGCCTGTGTCAACCTGTTAACAAGCCTAATCAAGTGTAAACAGTCCATTATTAGAACTTTTAGAACTCACAAGAATGGTCCGGTCAGTCTTTTTTTTTCTTTATCAAAGCAGAGTAAAGAAGCTCACTTTAACAACCGATCCGCCAACAAAAGCAGACCTTTTCACTGAACGGATTTTTCACTTCAGGGCATTTTCTGTATTCCTGTTTTGCACCCAAACAGAATTTTGTGAGAAGTTTCGTTTCTGCACTGTCAGAGCCTGCTCGCGGAAGTGGCCCAGAAAGTAATGGGATTTGCAACAAAGTGAGAACTTTTGATCAGATACTTTGGGCCATAGAGTTCATGCATGCACACAAATACATACCACAGGGCCAAAGTGCCACTTGCAAAAAAAAGAAGAAAACTATCAAGCTTTGGAACTGTTTGTAGCAAAACTAAATTTGGTACATGTATGCTTGAAAAAGTTAGGACTACTGGTACATGTAAGGGTTTCTAATCTTGTACAGTTGATGATAATTTGTTCACAACACAATTGTTTGGTTGTTATTGGTCCTTGATTCCGAATCTACATTCATGTGTCAGTTTTATTTTTTTGTTATTGACTTCTGGGTTTGTGAGATGTATGTATTGAGCACTTTCTTTTGTTTGTAAGTCCAAATTCCAAAATATATATGGTTTTGTAACAAATTCTGGTACCTGTAGACCAGCCTACAATTCTGTCTCTATACTCAGACTCATTGACTGTGAATTGGGCTTGGTTGAAGGGTCGAAGAAGTGAATTTTTCTTGGGAACATATTTTGTGTAACTTTCTACTCCTCTTTAATGCATGAAAACTATTTGACATCCCTTTTTGATTAATTTTATTGAAAAGTGCACTTCTTTGAACATTTAAAATTGTCCATGCTTTTCCGGAAAACTGAGGGCACTGCCACTGTGATGTTGTTTCCGGAAGACAATGTTCAGTTAAGGGGTTTCCCGTTGAAATAGTGAACCCCAAATTTGCTTATGGAAAATATTTGTGAGAAAAGTTTGCTCATTGGCTTAGTACCATGTACTGACACAACAACGAATCACCCCAAAAGAGAAAGTGTTCGACAGCGAAATATCCAAAATTCTGGCAACTTTTGGTGCTGAAACACCTGTTACATTGAGGTTTCTGCCTGAAATGAAATCACTGTTACTGCTCATGAATATGAAAATTTGCATTGGCATAAAAACCAAAAAGGCACCAAAATACCCTTGCAAATGGCAAAACGAAAATTGAAAATAGGGTTAATTAGACAGAAAGGTGCATTTCCAAGGATTGCATTAAACAAATTATATTGCATGGGCTCTGTAAACCTCACTTTTGCCCAAAAAATTTGTCTCAATTGACTACCTATAGACGCCTTACACCAAATTGGTCTGGGACCCGGAACCCCCCCCCCCCCCCCCCAGCTTTACTAGGCTTGTCTATAGTCTTGTTTCATGATGAGCTGAAACAAGTTTGTAAAATTCCTGTCATCAACATTAGCAGTTTCACTAATTGCCCACCCGGTATGTCGGTATACGGTACAAATTATGCATACTTCCTGACACTCAGCCACTTGTAAATTTACTACGTTATTGATTGGCCAATGAACACACCTCCAGAACTATTCAAAATGCACAATGGACGGTCTAACGGCTTCATCATTAATAATTCATTCAGTTGCATAAGGGTCCTTTCAAAATATACTTTCTGTAAGAAGCTACAATGTGTAATGGCTGTTTTTATAAGCAGGGCCAGTGAACGTACAAGTCTGCCAAGATGGCTTTAAATTTACGTATTCTGTATTTGGTTGACATTGCAGTGAACTGCAATTACATTTCTAATGTACGTCTGTCAGCTTTATTCTAGGCACCTTCTCAAACACGTACACAAGTGGAAGATCGGAATGTTTAAACTCTTACCCACTTTGCCAGGAAGTTTTCAGTATTCTGTTTGGCACATTATTTCCTTGTATAAAACAAAATTTGGATTTCAAATGCGATTTAGTGGCAGCTTTGGCTCTAAAAATGATGAATCATTCAACTATAAATACCCATCGACCCTAGTGTGAAGTTTGATACATGTGTAAGGACACAATACTGGCAACCAAAAGTGGGACATTAGAGATCTGAAGCAAGACGAAAGCTGCATGCTGTTAGTTTTCTCTTCAATTGTTGGGGGAAAAAACCAAAGTGGAAAACAACATTGAAAAGATAAGAGGCAAAATGTTTTTAACTGCAAAGCAGATTATAATGGTATCTGTGGACAGTTAACCTAAGTTACGTGGTGTCCACTTGTGCATTCTTCTGCAAGTATCGAACAAGGCAATTGTGGGCTTCTTGCAGTCTTGTCAAGGTATCCATTTGTTTTAAAACCAAATTGAGGAAAAAAGCTCATGGAGAAGTGGGTTTATTCATTAGTAAGTTGACACCGTTAACGTTAAGGGGACATCCTTAAAAACATACAGTAGTGACCAAAAGTTACGCAAGCACAGATTTACAGGAGGCCCAGATTGCACGAGTTACATAGTGGTTCCCAACAATTAAGCGGAGATGATGTTAAAAATGTGCCGTCTTGAAATCCCCCAATTCATGACTTGTCATTTTGAACCGGTTAAAGGCCAGTTTTGAAAGGGTGACATACACTTGACATGTCTTCAAATTAAATGTGACTGTGTACTTCCTTGTCAACTTATTTGAAGAAAAAAAACTGCAAAAAAAAAAATAATAATAAGGACGAGGTTTCAACACTGGAAATCTGCGTCACCTGGTCATGAGTCAAGCCAATTATGTATGCAAATGAGCTAGTTCCGTCTGCAAGGGGAAGGGGTGCTGTGGCAACCTGCTGACGATAAATCAGTTCCTGTGAAGGGACAAGTCTTAAAAGAGAAGCAAAAAGCTTGATTCTGTGCAACAGGGACATCAGCAAATATAATTACAATGAGTAATTTTGAAGCCCTCTGTGGCTCATGTTGTAGGCCATTAACCCCTCCCCAATTTACCTCTTCCCTCCCCTGATGACCTCATATTGTCCCACCTCTCCCCCCCCCAAAAAAAAATTCCCCACAAGACGCAAAATATCTGCGTAAAACCATTAAGTTGTTGACCAAATTCAATGTTTCCTCTGCTCCGACAACCATCCCGGACAAAAAAGTCCCAGTCATAACATGATTACTGAAAGGGTTACATGGCAAGGAAATCTGAGGTCTAGACCAATTAAAAAGGACATGTGCACAGGAACAGTGCCATTGAAGAAACTTTGCCAGACACAATGATCTTGGCTCTTGGGGGGTTTTTTTGTTTTTTTTTGTTTTTTTTAACTTTGCAGGAAAGCAAAAGTGAAGTGAAATTTATGACTTACAAGTGAAGTTTCATTGTGGTTTTTACTGAAAACACAAGTCGGGTTTTATTACCTCTGTCATTTCTAAACAGTGAACTTCACTCTGTTTTGGTGGTTTATTTAATAATTTGTTTGGGGTTTTTTGTTTAACTTTGCAGGAAAGCAAAAGTGAAGTGAAATGTATGACTCACAAGCGAAGTTTCACTGTGGTTTTTACTGAAAATACAAGTCGGGTTTTATTACTTCTGTCATTTCTAAACTGTGAATTTCACTCTGTTTTTGGTGAAAACTTACTCTATCGGACTGAAAATAGGACGAGATGATTTGGAGTGAAATTTATTCAATCGAATTGATCACGCTTTCACACGATTTTCAACTGTAATGATTCTTAAATTATAGTGATTTTTCACTTTAAATAGTCTGGTCCCTCATTCTACTTTTTAAAAATTACAGAGAAGATAAATGTAGAAACCAGAAAAGGTGTTTGTGACTGTAGACCTATTTTTGTGTAATCTATCCAAAGATAATCTTAATTAGAAATATATCATGTTCACAAGCCCTCATGCTGTTTGGAAGGAAATGAAGATCACTCTTCCTTTTCCCTCCTTTAAAATATTTCCAAATCATTGAGTGAATCTACATATACCGATATGTCTGGATCTCCTATTGAGAATTTCAACTTCACAAATACATACATTACATCTAACTTATACTTTACTCCCCCCCCCCCCTCTCTTTGGTCCCCTTCCATTACAAATCTACATGTTTTCCCACCAATGACAGAGGGACTAGCAGAATTAATACACGTGTCTCAGAACTAAGCCACTCTGAAGGTTTCAGGAAGACCCTATTAAAGTATCACGTCCAGGTGATATTTGTAATGCTGTGATGAATGTGAATCATTTTTATTGAAAACATCAGCTGACCCGGCATGTTTACATTGTCAGTTCAGAGCTTTACACAATCCAAACTACCAACTGGACCAAAATATTGTTCATCCTCCTTAAAAATTGTGAGGGACAATTTTTACTCCCCTTTTTCAAATTTGGATTTTTCTCTTGAAATTAAATCCTCTCCTTAAATTAAAGAGTTCCATACCTGGACACCACTTGACACCCTGTGCACAAACCCTATGAGACTGGTCTGACATTTTTGAAGTGTTTTCTCAGTAAATGCTTCAATAGTTTCCCTGCTAAATTTGACATTTTAGGACAATGTTATCACTTTCTGATATAGCTGGTAGGTCACTGCAGGGGAAAATGTGTGATGTCTATGTACGAAATTCTTCCCAAACTGAGTATTGTGATATGCTGCAGGCCAAAGCTTTTCATGTGGAGCCTTTCCTTTTTAAAAATAATTGTCTCTAAAGTATTTTTCATTCTAAGAGAACTTTCTTGTTAAATTATGACACTTGGAGTTGTTCATTCACAGTGAAATTTATCTGGAAACAAAGCAAACTAAGTAGGTTTCTGAATCTGGCCAAACATGATTCATTGATTTTCTTCTGAACACTTCCAAGACTTTTGGAGTATCCAGTCCTTCAAAAGCACAAAATCCATTGAACATCTCCCTCCCCCTCCCCCTAATAAGTGACTGTACAGCTTGTAACAGTCTTTTGTATTCCTGATACTTTGTGTGGATTTACTGGAAAGCAGTCACTTGACGTTAGGCTTAGTTTATAGCCCAGGTTCCAAACACAGTGGTTCGTTCCTGACTATGGCAGTGCTGTTGTGGCCTGTCCAATCAGATTGAGCATTACGCCTGGGCTTTTCCAAATGCTAACTGGGGGGGTTTGTAGCAATGAAACCACATTTGGGATAGGAGATAAACTAATATCCGTTTTACTTTCAGACACAAATAATGCCCAATATCCACCATTAAAGTTGACATTTGTCAGTATATTTTCCCAGTTGAGGATGTTGAGAGAGAAGCAAAAAACAACCTATTTTTCAATCAAGTTTAAATTTCAAAAATGAAACGCTGCTAAAAGTACTTGAGTGACCTGAATATATCATTTTAAGGTTAAAAGGCCATATTTTCGTTGTCTGGATTGAATTGGCAGGTCCAGTATTCTATATTTCAAAATGTGAAAAAGTACACATAATTGATAAAAGAAATATTAGAATTGAATTTTTTTTTTATTATGAATACCAAGCATCCGTAATTGTACTGGCAAAGATAGGTAGATTTAAAACTTCTTTTTTTTTGGAAAAAAATTATATTAGGTGTTACTCTCCAGCTCAACTGAACCATCTTTAATTGGATTCCCTTTCTTGATAAGAATCCTACAAGCATCCGGTGGCATAATAAACCCTCCCCCAGCGGGTGTTCATGTGCCTCCCCAGCCCCACCCCAAATTTGAAATTTTGAACTGAACAAAAATAATAAGATATTTGTCTTCAGTTTCCCCTTGACAGAATTGTGCACGTCCAGGTGCCCCCCTAGAAGTTTAATCCTTATTACGCCCCTGCATGCAACTGGTATAATTGGAAATGTGTGATTAGTTTCTTGTTTTAATCCTCAAGCCTAACCGTTGGATCTGGTTTCACCTATTAGCAATGAAGAAGCTGGTAGCAATTTAATTCCAATTAATTTGCTGTACCCCTACTTCCCTTAATCAAGAAGGCGTACATGCAGGCAGCATCATTTAATGCTTCGTCTGATACCGGTCGATCTTAATTGAGGTAATCGTTGACTCATGACATGAATATGTAAATCTGCAGGTTAATCGCCTGCTATTTGTTAGTATCTTTCTAATTAAATCTTTAATTTAATTAGAATGAGAGAACATGATTAAAAAAGGCAATTATTCTCAGTTTGTTTTGAATACTTGAAGTGTGAATGTTTCATGGGTTTCTAAAATTTTGTGAAAAAAATGAAACTGTTCACATATTTTTTCCCATCTTATATGTGACTGGGTAAAAAAAAAAAAAGGTTTTGACCAAAGGGTCAACAATTCAAGACAAAACATTGCTCCATCGTCATGTATGGACAGAACTGTCTCAACTGCACAATGACTGTTAATGGTCTTAAAAACTTCACAGAAAAAAACTGCACTTCAATGGTATAGTCTGTTGAACATACAATAAAAGTGCCAAACATGGCAAAACTTCTACCAGAATAAAAGGCCAGAGTTGCTAAAGAAGCCAAATAGATTGCAAATCAGATGACTGTAAGGAAATCTCCCAGCTTTATTTTATTTACAGCTTCGTGCTGTACTTCAGCCTATGAGGTAAACCATATTGGTGACAAAACCTGGCTTTTTTATTCACTTATTTCATTGTGCATTGATTTTTCCTGACTTTTATATTTTCATGATGACTATACTAAGAACTTGTTAGAAGAAGTTACAATTGTTTGTGAGATTAAATATGAGACAAGAAATTGACTAATTACCGTGACTATATTCTGCTTCATCATCAGATTCGAGACTCCACATTTTCCGCGTCCCTAAGGATGGGCGAGGACCTCCTGATTATTCCGCTGTTCCTCCTTGACGTCCAGACGCTATCTCTGTCCACCTCCCTATCCTCTGCCTCTCTCATCTCATCAACCTCCTTGGCGCTACATCTCGAGAAGTCCTCCGATTCCCTCATCATGTGGAACCGCTTCATATCCACAAAGTGACAGTCGTCTCTCACCTCCACCATGTTCTCAAACTGGAAGCCCCACATGATCTCGTCCGGGAGATAAGAGGTTCTAGCCTGGGTTGTTGTGCCCGTGGCTTCCACGATGCCTTCCAAGATGGCGATGATTTCAAAATCCATGTGCCGAAGATGATCCCGGGAGATGCTGTACAGAGGGCTTTTTTCATCAACGACATGGACAATCTGAAGTGGCCACACCAGGAAGAGGCGATCTGCACCGAATTCATGGCCGATATTTAAGTCCAGGAATTTGAAGGGGATCACAGTGCCCTCTTTCGTCACGTAATGACGCACCATCTGAAGTCTCATGTGACCCTCAACAATGTGGGATTTTTGCCGCAGGTCCCCAACTCGGAAGGTGAAGCACATTTTACCGTCGAGTTTCGTCATGCAGGCATAGTGGCTGAATTGGAGTGTCTTCGCCCTGGCTTTGGGTCTGGAGACCTTGGCAATGAAGCTTCCTAGAATAAATGCCTCAATAAAGTTTGCCCAGAGAGTGTGCACAATCAGGAAGAAGAGTACTTCCCCGCATTGTTCGGTCGGGCTTCTAAATCCAAACCCGATAGTGGTCTGTGCCTCGATGCTGTACAACAGTGCCGACTTAAAGTTTTGAAAGTTTCTAAAGCAAGGCTTCCACTCTGGGTCATCCAGATGGTCAAAGTCACCTCGGGCGATGGCGAGTCCATAATAGAGAACAGCAAACAGAAGCCAGCTCGCCAGGAAACCCACGATAACCATGAGGATGTTATATCGCCACGGCATGTCGACAGTACTAGTGAATATGTCTTTGATGATCTTGCACCAGCGGCTCTTAGACATGTTCTCATACTGGATGTTGCAGGTGCCGTCCTTCTCGACAAGTCGGGTGCGCCGCTTTATCATCTGCGAGGAGCTGGTGCTGTTGCTGACGTTGCCGATGCTGATTTGGTTTAAGCTGGCGTGGTTGGAGACTGGATGGTGGTTGTTAGCTACCAGCACTCTCATATCCGTGTGGTTGCAGTTGCAGGTGCTGGCGTAGCTTGTGTTGAGAGATTCGGTTGCCATTTTTGTTGTTGTCTTTCTGTGTTGTCTCTCTGTCTCCACAGAAAAATCAGTCTTCAGTTTGCCACTTTGAAGATGAAGCACTTTTTAATTTCAAATAATCAAACAAAGAGTAATCCAGTTAAATATCTCTCTCCAGAGTGCTTAGACTGTCAAGGACACATCTGCAAAAAGAATACCATAGTTCCATGAACATTTTGAAGTTCAAAGAAATATCTTTCATCAAACTGGTTAAGACCCATAGCCACATCACCATCCAGGTCCCACTGTTGAGATGCTTAAATTTAAATGATGCCAAATTATTGATTTTCTTTACAATCTCTCCACCTATAACCAGTTCTGAACTCTACTTTGGAAACTGTTTTAAAAACAGAATTTACTTCCAAGAATGCACAGAATCTATATAACACTTACCTTAACTGGATTCTACCCTCCAGAAAGAGTATTTTCCTTCCAAGATCAGCAAAATATTCCAAAATCCCTCAGGAAATCTTCAGAGCGGCGGTTACAGAAAGCAAAGTATTTTAATTTTGAAGTGGTATAGTAACTGCGAGCCCTTCTGGGTTATACCATTATCAGACAAAGGGAGTGACGTCCCATTCTTCTTAACTGCTTCAACCGGTAGCTGTTTGTCAGCAGGTCATCTTCACACAATGAAACCTTCTAAGATGTAGAGAATAACCACAAATCATCCTTTCAAGCCTTACAGCAAGAAGTCCTCACACTCCAAAATGGCCTAAAATTGAAATTCTAATCCAACATTTTGCCCATCTCAAGAAACACCATCATCTGCCAACACACCCCTGCGCAGAGTTGCGGTGCTTGTTTAACTTGCAATTAATTTTTGATGAGCAGTTTGTTTCGCAAGCTCCCAGATGGACAATGATTGGGGCTCCAGTACAAATATCCCTACTTGAAAGGAAAGTATTGATTGGGGGAGCTGGGACCGTTAATACCTTGGGGCACGGAGGAGCTGTTTTCAAACACCCAGTGTGCCATCCTCTTACAGCACTCACTGATGGTATTTAAATGACCGGAGAGGAGGATATGAGAGAAGGATCTGGAATCCTATTGGCTGATAATCAGCTTATGAGGGATGCTCATTGTGTCTGTGTCTCTGGGTCTTGAATACTTCAAGGTAACAGTCTGTATACACAGAACCCCTATAGATGGTCTGAAATGTCGCATAGCCTGGGATTTGAATAATTCTGCCTGTTTCTGCATGTTGTGTCCTTGGGCAAGTTACATTTGGCCAATATTTAAGGCGATCGTCGTGTCTCCAAATGTTTCTGTTTCTCTTTATTGAGGTCTATACTTGCTGTCTCCAGAGCTGCCCCCTTACTTCATTATCAAATTATAATTTGATAAAGTCAGCTGTTTTTTTTGGCAGATTAGTCTAAACAAAGCTACAGTTTGTCGATGTCCTGTGTCCGTGTCTGTGTTAGTCCTTCAGTGTCAATTGTGTTTGTAATTATTCTAAACAAAAATTTTTTGGTAAATGCCAATAGTAAAGTCAGAACTGCCTTGTATCAACATTTTGCCTAATGTTTCCCAATTTCTCAACCTCTTTACATATTCTTCTGATTTATTCACTCAAATCGCCCTTGGTTTACTTTGGAAATCTAGTCGACAAATATTTCCACTCGATGGTTGGTACCCACCTTTAGGGTCATCGCTACAAACCCTCATTGGGTTCTAGATGGTCCTCACTCATATTCATAACACCCCAAATATCATATGAACATCTTCATCCCTTAAAAATTCGTTAAAGAGCATTTTCCCTTGAAATTACAGTTAAATAAATTTTCACGGATTTTTCAACATATTAAGCCAGATTAGGAGTCCGTGAAAACACCTTTAAAAAAGTCCTTTGTTTACCAAGTGTACCGTTATGTACCGATGATAATCCTCAGTGGCTAGGGTCATTATAAAACCGTGAAAATGCCCTTACAGGATTAGTCCTATATAAGCCCCATGTAAATGTCCGTGAAACATCTCTTAAAGATCTTTTCACGGAGAAATGGACTTTTAATAAAAATTTAAAGGATCAGATGTTCATCATTGTCGAAATGCTGCTGTGAAGTTGAGTTGAATAAAACCAAACTTGAAACTTTAAACATAACCCCAACTTCAATCCATATTTAAATATAAATAGATACTTTATTGTTCAACAATAGGAGGGACTTCTCTACACAAGTTCCATTAAAGGGTAACATTTTCAGTTGCTTAGGCAAAGGATTCCAGTGCAGGGCTACACATAAAACCATGATTAGGAGAGGCCAGGGACTGAATAAGTTGAAACGGAGGGAAGGAGTTTTAGTTTTGCAAAATATAAACGGATTATTTAAAAGTATCATTTATTGATGTCCACTTGACTTGACCGAGCATTTTTTTCCCCTATGTCTTTACATTCAATTCAGGTTCTCGATCTCTTTCTGTTGAATTTAGTGTAAAATCAAAATATTGGATATTAAATTTGGTCTTTTGAATTATTTTTATGGGGGGAGGGGGAGGCAGAGGCAGTGGGGCAATTAACTGAATGATGGCCGGTTGTTGAGTTAACTGGTTGATCTGAACTTTCTCTATTGACACTTAATTGTTTTATGTGTACATTTATTTTTTTAATTTAAGATGTCAGTGCTTTTTTTAGTTTTACTCTAAAAATACATTCGAAACATTCAAGTCATTAACCTTTGAATGACATAACGAAAAAAATCCCCCAGTGGCATGTTGTGGCCAAATATACCAATAATTAATTTCCAAAGCTTGAATTATTCTGGTGCATCTTTTTGTCCCTTTTTTGTTATAGATGTGCAAAAACAACTCAAAAGTAATTTTTGCAGAGGTTCGCAGATGCCGAAAATAGGGGAATTTTTTTATATTTTATTTAATTGACTTTTATTTTTTAACGTAGAACATTCAACTTGAAATTATATTTTCAGGAAGAGAAATCAAAATGTGTTGGAAGGCATGGGGGAGGGCAACTTATAACCAACAAATATTATTTTAACAAAAACAGTTTTTTGTGAGATGCTGTAAAACAAAAATGAGTTAAAATTTTCGTTTTTGTTATGGCTGTAAAAAGTGAAGTGTGGTTTTATATTTTTTTCTGTGCCGTTTGTCAAAAACTTTTAGGACCAGTGAAGTGTTATAGCGCCCTCTTGTGAACAAACTTTTAAGTTTACCACGTGTACCGGCTGCAAACTGGTTCCGGTCTCTCCAACAACGATGAAATCCTTCAAATTTATGGCAGGAACCAGTCTGGTTAAGTAACAGTTTAATGCCGTGCGCTTACATTGGTCTTTTGCTATTTTGCCATACTCGAGGTGAGACGCGTCGAAAAGTGACTAGCTTTTTTACCGTAATTTTCACGTAGTACCTGGAGCTTTTCATCACCAGTACATAATTTTGATTGTTGATCAAGTGAATAAGAACAATTTGACCGGAGTGTGAAACTCGGTCATTATCACAAAAGAGGAAAAAACAACAATTTTTGTTGGTGATTGTGTGGCTTCATGGTTGTTGGCCTGGCCATGCGGTGGCTGCATGCATTCGCCGCTGGGCGCGCTCACGAGCACGTGCTGCCAGCTGCCAAGGCAGGGCGCCTATATCATGTACACTCTTAAAAATACTGTGAATATTGTCAACTCCCCATACACTTTGAACACTCATGAAGTGGCTAGGGTTACTGGCATGATTAGGCAATGCTAGGCCTGCATTCTTTCTTGCTTTTAATTTTTATGAAGAGCTAGAAATAATGTCAGGAATGTTGCACATCTCGGATTTTTTTTCTCCAATTCGTCCTGCCTTTGAAAAAAAACTGTGAAAACTTTTCCTTTTACTAGTTTAATTAGACACATTTTGATGTTTTTTTCCCCGTAAAAAAAGTGAACTTGTTCTTCAGTGCAACGTAAGTTCATGAGTTAGGCCTATAACTTATATTTAATATTAACTGATAAACCTCGTGGGTCATGCTTCATTGCACTCAACTTCTCAAGACCAATCAAACTCCGTATCCACATGGCCACTCCGGGTGAAACACATTGGACTGACACTTTTTTTTCATCCTCCCCATTCAGTTAACGCTGTAGTAAGTGATTCCGTTCGAGTTTTTTAAAAAGAAAATAGCGCCCTCTTCCCCCCCCCCCCCTTCCCCCTCTCTGACTCTCTCCCACTCAGTTTCCGCATATCTGTTCCTGACAAATTTTGACTTGAAGCCTTTTTCCAATAGTGCCCACTCAATTTATGCTGTTAACTGGTGTAATCGCTTTGGAAGAAAATTGAGCCGTCTTTTTGTTCTATTTAGTATTTGACTCATTCGGTATCCAGGTAGCCACTCCCCGGGGGGGGGGGGGGGGGGGGGGACACTTTTGAAACTTTTTTCTCTACATGTAGCTCCTTCGACTGGGTAAACATTGATTTTTGGGTGGTTATTTTCGAGTTACTCTCGGTATTCCACTAGATCAGCTTCCCCCCCCCCCCCCTTTTCTTTTTACAGTTCTTTTTACGGGTGACAAGTGTTCTGCAGTGTTAAATTTCACCTTTTTTTCTTACTTGTTACAGCTAATTAATATTTTGTTTTTGGGTAAATCCAAGGAAAGGTACCCTTTTTGTCACATACGTAACCCCATCTTTTTACATAATCATCGCAAGGGCTAATAACATACAAACTCTCGTGGGTATTCTCCTTGCAGATGCCCAACAGTAGAATAAAAAGCACTGACATCCATGAATATATTAAAGCGTTAAGCTTTTGTTACGCATGAGCTCGATTCTTGGACTTGCCCTTTTTTTAATTTGTCTATGCCAGTACATTTTGTCAATGATGTCTAACAGTGACCAATAAAAGTTGATAGGCCCTAAAACACTTCCCAGAATAGTGGTGGTGTTGCGGACACTATACTGCTGAGACAAACAATTGGCTGGACATTATTTGTAACATTTATGCACAATTTAAACTGCTGAAGTATTGAAGATGGTTTCATCAGATGATACAAATTTGTTCTTTTTTTTTTCAGTTTTCTCCCGAGTTGAACAGCAGAAGGAGCAATTTAAAGGTATTGTTTGATAATCAGTGGATAATGGAGTTTTTATTTAGTGGTTGTTGAATAATTGCCTTCGGTGATGTGACGATGACGAGGCTGATTGGCCCCTCCTGTTTCCATGGCAACTACAGTCTGGCATGTTTTTTGTTGGAGTGATGCATGTTGCCTGGTTGCAGTTGTGGGCCAGTTCTTGTGATGAAAAGTGCGAGGCATTTGTCTGAGAAGGCTCACTATAATTTTTTTCCCCACTTTTATTTTGTGATAATGTGAAGGATGTAACATTTGAGTTTCAATGATGTACTTCCGTTGCTATTTTTTGAAAAGATTTTTTTTAATTGCTGTGTTTCTAGCAATACAGAAGTTGGTCACTTTTCAGTGAGACATTGAAGCAAAAAAATGGCACACATTTAATATAGCATAATTTCTTTACATATTTTGACTTTAATTATGTTTTTCTTCATCTTTTGTTTTGTATGCCTGCTTTTTAGAAAAGGGAGAATGGCACAAAGGCTACTGTCCACTGTCATTTGCTGTGAATTGCTTGACTGTGGTTGAAAGCTTCAAATGATAAAGAAATCACGGTGCATAATCTTTAGCGAAGATTTATTTTTATTGTTCAGGTCAGTATGAGTTTGTATTTTGTGTTTAAAAAATCATAATTTTAAAGGTGGCCACCACAAAAAAAATTCCAAGATTGTTGCGTACATCATAAACAAACATCTGAACAAATATTATTAATTTTGAAACGTATTTAATTTTGTAATTCAAGGTCGTTTCATTACAGTTTCTCTGCACTTCATGTTACAATTTTGGATTTATTTGATTAATATGGAGGCTGTGGTTGATGACGATTTACATAAGTGCGCACAACCCTCATAGTATTCTGTAGTACTTTGTTTTGAGGGGGTTGGAGAATAATTGCCTTCGGTGATGTGACGATGACGAGGCTGATTGGCCCCTCCTGTTTCCGTGGCAACTACAGTCTGGCATGTTTTATGTTGGATTGATGCATGTTGCCTGGTTGCAGTTGTGGGCCGGTACTTGTGATGAAAAGTGCGAGGCATTTGTCTGAGGAGGCTCACTATAATTTCCTTTATTTTTTTCCCGTTTGTTTTGTGATAATGTGAAGATTGGACTATCACAAATGTATTGTCGTTGCTATTTTGTGTTTTCAACTGGAAAGATACTTTTAATTGCTGTGTTTCTAGCAATACAGAAATTATTCACTTTTCAGTGAGACGTTGAAGCTAAAAATGGCCCGAATTATTTTCAGCCCGACAATAATTCAGATGGCGCAGGGTTGATAATGTAAGGATAAGGAACCTGTCTACTTGCAAGGCAGATATGTATACATGTTAGCAAATGCAACTCAACCTAAAAAACCTTTCTCAGAGGGTTGCTGACAACTTAACATACTATTTGTTCTCTAATTTTTTTTTTTTCATTGAAAATAAACCATACAAGTTTTAACAAACTCGCTTGGAAAAAAATGTAACATTTTGAAGAACATGCATAGCATGTCTTGAATTGGAATTTAGTTTGCATCTTTTGTTTTGTGTGCATGCTTTTTAGAAAAACGAGAATGCCGCACAGGCTAGCACTGTCCACTGTCACCTGCTGTGATTTACTTGACTGCGGTTGAACACTTCAAATGATCAAGACATCGCAGTACATAATCTTCAGTGAAGATGCGTTTCTGTTGTACAGGTCAGTAAAGTTTGTAATTTTTTTTGTCTCGATAAGTAGTAAATTGTACAGGGGAGAGTAATTATCAGTTTATTGAATTAATCAATTTGTGGTTTTGGTCATTCTGTGATATCTTTAATTTAAAGAATTTTTAAAAAAATGAATGATAAAGTCTTAGTATATGAGATTTTCTTCAGGCTGTTGTCGATGACGAATCACTAGACGTTACCAATCTCTGCAATAGGATGCTTTATCCTCATCGATAGTGCATTCTGATGTAGACAACAGGACACCACCGAGACAATAGCCAAACAATTGCCACATTTTAATATCCGTGAAATTTCATGTAAGTATCCGTTGTCTAATGTAAAAATCAATCTTTTTTTTTTTTTGGCAGAAACCAAGTCAGAAGCTGTTACCACATACATGTACGTGAAGAAAGCATCCTATTTTGAAAGGTATCAATGAAATTGAATCAGCGTGTTATATATTTGTAAACTCACGTTAACACCTCCATGTACAAACGTGTTTGCCAAGAAAGATTTCTGCCTTATTTATGCTACAAAATAACATTTTTTTTTGATCCAAAACTGCCTGGAGGATTTTGGAGGATTGAGTAGGGCTAGTCTTCACCTCACTTTTTGCTGCTGTTGTCGATGACGATTCACCAGACGTTACCAATTTCTGCCAGGGGTGCATGATCCTTAAGGATTGTGTGTATTCCAATGTAGAAAACAGGACACCACTGAGACAACAGCTGTGAAACTAATTCATGCGTTGTGCCAAAGTAACTGAATGTTTTCTTAAAATTAAGTGACTTTTTCTCTCTTTATTTAGCAGGGATATTTAGCCAGTGTTGATCAGCTGTGACAATGATGGACCTAGCTGTAAAAAGATAGACCTTATGTCTTTCAAATGGTAAGAATTGAAGATTTATAAACAAAAAAATTAAGGTGGCTTCATATATAGTATAAATAATGTTTGGGTTGAATTTGATATTGATTCACGTTGTGGTTTATTTGGATTAACCCTAACTCCCTGGACCCTGTTGGCTATAAGAACCATCCTCAATCCTGCAAAATCCCAGAATTACCACCATGTAAACATTTGATTCAGCCTCAATCCTCCAAAATCAACCGTTATTTCTTTAATTTGTTCAGTGGAGGGGTAATGGGGGTTGGCAGTGCTGATGACATTCTGAAGCAGTGCCAATATTGAGCAAAAACGCACGACTCAATTATGCATGGCTGAACATAATGCTGGTTACAGCCAATGAACTAGACACAGTGCATCCTCCAAAATCAACTGACGCTTTTTTTTTGTCATTGATACTCGATCTTCCAAAACCATGTGGAGGATTTTGGAGGATTGAGGAGTTTCTGTTTGAAAATATCTGTAATACCTGATTGAGTCTGTGATGCTATTAGAAAGGTTATCCAGTTCAGACAAATACCTTAATGGTGATTGCATGAATTCAGATCTGAGACTCAATCAGATTAATCACAATGGCAATGGAATTCATCTTCGAGATTACATGAAATTTTCCAAACTGAAAATGCGAATCATATTTTTTGTTATTGCAGAGAGGAAGAGCCTGCAAAAGTGCAAATGGGTCCGAGTCATCTCCTGATCAGTTCTCCAATTGAATACTGCTGTCTGAATGTGGTATGTCGTGGACTTTTTTGTTATTGTGCACATTTTTTATGGGTTGGTTTTCCTCCGAACTCGAGGCGACTTTTGACGTTGCTTAACACAGCTTGCAAATGATGACAGAAGTTTTTTACACCACATGTGATTCAGTGATCAAGACTTCCACCAACGCTGATGCAAGCAAAAATTTCTTCAGAACTGTATTAACAAATAATGTTAACTGCATTTCAAACTCATCTTACATTCTGGCTAAAAAAAATATTCAAATTGCTCGGTCATTGCCTTCTTGTATGCTGTTTGTCTTTATAAGAAAAATGACTCTGTAACTTATACAATTTCCCTTTTCCCTCCATAAATATGTAGTTCACAGAATGAATGCGAACCACGGCCCTTGCACCAGGATCTTGCAAATACGTGAAACTGCCAATTTCAACCATTTCACCTGTGGATATTGGATTATGAAGGTCAAAGGTCAGTGTTGGTATGCATGTCCCTGGTTTGCATCATTCTCTGATGCAGTAGTAGTGACATGGTCATGTAGGAATTCAATTTCTCTTAACTTTGGGGAAACTTTCATTGAAAAGTTTGCTTGTGTGATGATATGCCCATATGACACCTCTTATGTAAGGGTCCTAGTCTTGTGACTAGTTCTCAATGAATAAGATATATTCTGATGTAAGCAAACACCATGTCACTTGTCTTAAAAAAATTTGCCTTTGATTCTAAGTTTTTTGGTGGAAAACCCACAGTGGTTACCAATTCGATTTCTGAAAGGTGCAAGTTTTGAATACTCAATTGACACTTTAATTTATAATATCAGTTGACTGCAATGAAGAAAATTCTAAAAAAAAATTTTAAATGATCACACTTTTTTGAGATAATGAACAAAATGTATCAAAAATTGGTGCTACATGGAGTTAACTTTATATCTCTTTGATTATTTTCAGTTTGCTGGAGAAATTCACCCAATACAAATTTTCAGGTAAGATTTTCAGGTAAAATATTTTGCCGTTCTCAGCGAGTCAGCCGAGTATCCTTGTAACCTGACTGACTAGCTCGCTGACTCCTTGACTGACTGTCACTTGTGACGTACACTGTTCCGATACCAGAATCACAGGGCTTGCCTATTTATGTGTGTTATGTAGCATCCTTCTCCACAGGCATTTAGTCTGGCGCCACTGGATTTGTGTAGTTTCATGATACATACATATGTACGAAATAAGTCGAGTCTCCATGCAAACGGCTGAAATGGATTTTTCGTTTCCATACCATTATCACTACCAGTAATACTCGACGATTTTTCTTGTAAAACACTGTCATCTAACGCTGGTTTGCTTGTAAGTGATGATATACCCTAGACACCTCTTATGTTAGAGTCGCGGCACATCTGCCCGACTCGATGAATGGAATGTTCTCTGATACAAGCAAATAAAAACTTCGTGAAGTTCTTTCCCTGGAAATGTTCTGATGAAAATAGCCTCAATTTTTATGATGTGGGTTTTACGTTAGCTTTTCTTTTTCCTTTTCGTTTTGTTTTATTTTGTTTTGTATGTAGATCCAACAACTAAGAAACACTCTCTTGACGGTGGACACGTCAACCTTCACAAATGACAAGGAGCAAATTATTTCGTTTTCTTTCGTTTTATTTCTTTCAATATCTTTTAAATCACTTTTATCAACATGAATTTGTTTCGGAACAATTACCCTTCTGGCATCTAACAGTCCGTTTACCATGGCATCAATAAGTTGGTTATTGAATTAAAAAAAAAAAAATTGCGAAAAAAAAAGATTACAAAAACTTAATAGTATGGTAACAATTTGAAACATGATTTTAAGTACAGCACGACTATTTTTTAAGTTGATGGCCAAATTTGGGGTAGAAAACACCCGATATAAAAAGGTTGCTATGCATAATGTGCAGTGATCATGCAACTCGTTAAAAAATTTACAGCACACAGTAAGTACGTTTTGGAGATTAATGAGAAAAGTAAAAGAAATTCTATACAATTTACAACCTTCTGGCTTGATCAGTGCAAGTTTAAAGTTTCGTATTAACAAATTCTTTTACAAAAAAGCATATTTCTGTTTTCTACAGTACAACAGTAAGTTATAGTCTGTGTCCACTTTAACATAAATTTGTGCAGTTACAAACGCAAATAAAAATATGTGTAAAACAATGTACATTATGTTCTATTTTATTTTTTTTTGTCTGTTTACATGTTAAGAGTGAAAGGCTAAAACATATAAACAAAAAGTGAAATTGTTCACAGAGTTGTGAATAAATTTCAGTTAGTTTATTTTTACTGGTTTAACTTTTCAAAAAGGTACATGGCATTACAAAAATACAAAGGCAAGTCAACAAAGTAAATTTATGGTAAAAACCAAAATATGATTAATATAATGTGTGACTCTTAATGGGTGGTTCTTAAATGCAGGCATGCAACTTTTCCTCGGATCAGCTGATTTCCTCTTTTTTCACTTCCCATGTGTGCCATTGAAAATAGAAAAACACTGTACAAAGTCTGGAAAAATCTGAATTTCCTCTTTTTTTGTGACTTCCTAGTTGCATGCCTGTAAATGACTTTTAAGCAATTGGTATTGGTTTTTTTTTTTTTAATTGAGCTTAAAACCCAAAGGAGCCAAGGGATTACATGCACTTCAATCCACAAATTCATTTTTTTGTTTACAATTCCAACCGCAAATGGCCTGGGCTGACATTACAGGAGTTTGAATTGTTCAACATTTTGGATAAGTTTCATGGGCGTGGTAGGGGAGGGGGCACTACTGCCTTGGGCACTGGAGTTATTTACAGTTCGTCTATGCGTGAGGGTATGGTTTGGTAAAGCCGTAATTTGAGCCACAAAGAGCCAAATAAGCAATATGTAACAGGAGCTGTAGGCAGCAAGCCAATCGGTCATCTGAGAAAGAGATTTTGTCATTGCTTTCACCCTAACGTACCTGAATCCATCAAAATCCACACCCCTGTTTGTGGAGGATTTTGGTGGTTTCAGGATACCTCCATATTGAAAAAATTTGGGGGATTTTGATGGATTCAGTACAGTAAGCCAAGCGGTACTGCAGAAATTTGATGGATTCAGGATCTCACCAGAGTAACTCCTTAGCTATATGATTGGCGTGTACGAAGTATATGTACTACACTGGTGGATTGTGATGGACATTTTTTTGCATGACAAAATTGGTGGATTTTGGCGGATTCAGGATACTTTCTATTAAAAGTGCTCAAGGGGTAAGGGTTAAACTAACTTAGAGGAATTTGGAGGGTAAAGTGCATTTGTCTCCAAAGTAATCCCCCCATACACAAATTCAGAATAACCTCCCAATAGCCAAGGGTTAAATCAGATACTATTGAGGGATCAGGAACCAGCCTTATTGACCCGCTATCAAGTACAGTCGCGTCTCGTTCGGACCTAGCCAAATTGTTTGTTATATCAGAATTTTGTATTAAGAGGAACATCAGTCCCATTCGTTGTGCACATAAATGCACAGTCAGGACCAAGGCTTTATGTTTGTTATAACCAGAATTTGGTATTAACAGAGTTTGTACTAACGAGAGTCGACTGTACAACCCAAGTCTATTGAATAGTGGCTTGCAGACAAACATCTATGATATTCGCCCAGATTCAGCGATTAATTATGCAAAGCAAAACCTGTCGAGATTCTGACCATTCAGCGGGCGCCTTCTATAGGGTCTTGCTTAACCTGTTGTACTATAACAACATGGCAGCCAAACTGACCAAACAGCAGCTTATAGTCCACCTTTCTGATCGAAATGTTCACATGGTCGCATAAAATGTGCATGCTCGGATATATCAGACATTTGTAGTGTGGCTCTGCACATGTGAATGTCTGATCCTCGGACCATGGAGGAAGAAACCATGCTCAGACTAGCAAAACTCTGCCTTTCTTCTGTCAAAGTCCAATGAGTCAACACACTCCATGCCATTTTTGTATTAAAAACTGCATAATATTGCATATTCAGATGCACTGAAAGGTGCATGGCAAACTGCACACATTAACTGCCTTTAATACTACTTGTCAAAATGTACAAAATCATATTATTATTGAGCATATCAAGTGCACTTAAGCGAGAAAAAGGTGTAACTGAGCTTACTTCATCTGAGAGGCAAATAAAAATAGCACCATAAAAAAAATATTACAAAAAACATCTACTCGCCCTCAGATGACAATATTTTTATATTAAAAAGAGATTGTAAAAACTACACAGAAATGAGTTGTTTATTGAGGTTAGGTTTCCGATCTAATGACCAACTGTCTAAGGCGCACTCCAGGCCATGTTAAGGGTAGGGTAGATCATTTTTCATTTCTGCTTTTTTTTTCGTTTGAAGCAACAAAAGTGCTGAAAAGCTAAAGATGGGTGCTTAACAACTAACCTGATGAAGTTTTAGCTCAGAGAATGCTGTATATTCCAAGAAAAACAATAATCTAGCATCTTGGTTTCAATTCAAAATTTGCCGAGTCATGATTTGAATTGCGCCTGAAATCGGCGTCCGACTACTAACGGAAATTTGATAAAATGCGTTACTTGACGCATCTTTGGAAATGACCTTGTTTTGTTCTTTAAAAATGACAGCATGCCAGAAAGAATAATTTCACAGGGAGTTTAATGCCATTACTATCTTTACACCAAGTAAGCTTCTCAACAATAAAGTTTTGTCAGTTACTTTTGGATAGCTGCAAATGATCAACTCTACCTTTAAATATTATCTCGTTTGTTTTCTTCTAATACCCTGCTATCCTAAATATTTCCATGCTACAGAGTGACAAACAAGTTTACAAAATACACAGTACGGTGTCAAAAAGCGTAATAAAAAAGCTTTGAAAAAAGGTTGTATATTTTTAATTTAAAAGTAAACTTTGAAAGTGTAAAAAAAGCCTGACAAAGTAACACAGGATAAAAGCCTGCTTTGAAAAGTTAATTACATTTTATAGGCATGCATAGTTTTTTTGGCAATATTATAGCAGTTTCTCCTGATACAGAATGGAAGAACATCTATATTCAACTCAGAATACATTGTATTTTTAACAGCTCAGTCTTAAAAACAAGTTAAGATATTTTTACTGTTCTGAATAAATGGCACTTTTTTATAGTATAGACACATATCTGAGGCATTTCTTTGTTACGCATGTGTAGACAGATTATACTTTCTTGTCACTGAATTTACGTAAACAAAAATTGCCCTCTGAGAAAGCGCACTGTACAAAGGGTTTATAAAACACATTTTGGCAATCTCTATCACTAATTTCAACTGAAAGATGGGGGCAGCCGAAAAGAAGGAGGAACACAACTAGAAAATATTGAAAACAGTTGGATTGTTTCCGATAAATTTTTAAGTTCATAGAAAAAGGCCAGTTCATACTCCATGCGAATGCGATGCAAAATTTGACGTCAAGAAGCATTCGCTGCAAAATACATTGAATTGAAATGTGTTCAACTTTTGCGAATTCACAGCACGAAAACTTGCCCTGACGTCGCAAGTTCGCGTTCGCTTTCATACCGATTATGAACCAACCTTTGGTCTAGCATTTCTCCATCCCTCACACATAAGGACAAAGTACATTCAGTGTAAAATTACCCTTAGTCTTGGCTCACGACTGGATTTTGTTGTTAAAAATAATAATGATAATAAGTTTAGGATTTATATAGCGCAGATCCATAAAAAATCAATGCTCTTTTTTTTCCCCAAATGCAGCTGGTCCCAATCCCTAGCAAGCATGATCAAGACACCACAGCAGTAGCGGATGCTACCAAGAAGATGAATCAAATGTAGTCTTGGGAAGTTTGGCACTGGGACCCGCAAAATTCTGAGCATACTTCACACGTGTGATATTACCGGTATAGCTTGATTCCTCCTGTTGGTAGCACTGCGGCACTTGTCAAGGAGCAGCTGCATAAGGGAACAAACTCAAAAACCAGTCTTGGACTAAACCTACTACGCTCTTTGCTCAATATTAACCTAGATCACCTGTTATTCTTCCTAAACTTTTCATCCCCGTTTTTCCCCATGTAGGAAGTCCAGCTCTGCTTGTCCGCCGGCAGAAACCGAAAGTGCTCCTCCAATTCTTCCACATCTACCTCCTCCCTACTGACTCCTTCGCTCAGCAGGACTTGGTCGTCCTCCAGCCTGACCCAATCCCGCCTCGTGATGGCGCTCTTCAGGACCAGCCTGTGGACTCTCAGCCTCAGCTTGGTGGTGAGGTAGTGGGAATCCTCGTCAGTCAGTTGGGCCATTTGAGTCTCGACGTAAACGTAATCCAGGTTGCCGTCATTGTCCAAGTCACCAATGATACCTGGCAACAAAAAAGACACTTTTAGTTTAATTAATAGTTGGAGAAAATGTTTTAGTTTCCTTCCCACCAGAGTTGTAACGAGTCACTGTATTTGTGACTCGAGTCGAGTTCAGTCATTTTAAGGAAGTGACTCGAGTCGGACTCGAGTCAAGTCATTGGCTCGCGTCATTACGACTCTACTTCCAACTTGGATAATTTGCAAATCCCATGTAGGCAACCATTTGGATTGAGGTTTCAGTCCCTTCGTACGTCTCCGGAATTCCCTAAGATTCTTCTCGAGACTTTCAGGTAGTTTTCTTGTATATCTGAAATACCTCTGAATATTTTCCAGGAATCTCTCAAGGTTTGCCTTTAATATTTCTGGGCGTTTCCTTTGAATATTTTCGAAAGTATTTCTAAAGGCTTCCTGAAAATATTTTTGTATATATCTCTAGAACGTTTTTGAGAATTTCCCTGGAAAATCTGTAAGATTATCCTTGAACTTTTCGAACATTTCCCTGAAGAGTGTATAGTGTCTCTGGGATATGAATTCTACAGGCTTCCCTAGAATATTTTTGAAGCTTTTCCTTGAAATATCTCTGCTAAAAACCTAAACCAGAATTTATTTATTCTATTGTCACAGATGTCTTGATGTTCCAACCCAATAGGAATCCTTGGCATTATCACCATCAGAAATCAAGAGATTGACTTGTTCCTATTTTTGCCGGACTTAAAACATGGAATGGCCAATTACAGGACAGACAGTATGAAGTTCTAAGGTAATTGACCAATCCCAGGGCAGGATCACTGTGCGCTCATGAAGTACCTCGGTAATCGTGAAAGCAGTTGTGCCTGCTCTATTCAAAATGACTGCCCAAGTCTTTTTCTTCTGAGCAGTGTCTGACACAGTTCTCCAACAGTTACTGTGATATGTGTACCCCCTATCTACATGTATGGTGGTGCCTTGTGATGGCGGCACTGTGCCAGCACTGTTCAAAATAACTGCCCAAGAATGTTCTCCTCTGAACAGCAGCTGGCACAGTGCTTCTCCCACTGGTACATCAAGTAACACTGGTACATCAAGATACATGCAGCAGCTTTGTTTGGGTAGCTTGCTGTCCTGAAAGTTTGTACAAATGTAAGTTCTGGCAAAGACTATGGTCAACAATAGTTCGACTATAAACTGCACTCAAACGCAGGATTGTTAGGCTACGCTCGTCGACTACTTAACACCACACCCTAGGTACGACTGCATAATAGCTGCGCGTATCATAATGCACAACAGGGAGCCAGAATCAAGAATTTTCACAATGACGTACTGAGTGTCATCTAACAAGAGGCAGTCGCAGGTTGCTATAAGTGCACAGGTGTAAGTTACATCACTAATTAACCACTAGTCGACTAATTGTCCTCACCAGAACTTGCCCTATGTATGATGTTTGCTTTCTTACCTGTTCCAAACAGACTGGGTTGGTAGATTAAGCACAAGTCACTTCTAGAAGTCTCTCTCCTCCTACGGTGCTCCTCGCCCCCTTTTGACCCTGATGCTGGAGTCTCTGGCTTTTGTGGTGTTGACGTTTCTTGGTCTGCGACCATACCTAGCTCTGTGAAAAGCTCGGCCAGATGTGTTGTACTTTGATTGTTATTTGTGACTTCCTCTTTTAGTGATGGTTCTTTATTTTCATCATCACCTGTTGTCTCTATGTGCGATTCCTCAGCACTATGGTTTGTACCCTGGCTTACAGGTAACGAAGTGGGTTTATTTGTATCGGTGTCAGACTTGTTATTTGAACTACTGGTATGAGTTAAGTTGACAGCCAGTGGAATACTGGAGTTGACAGCCTGTGGACTGCTGGAGTTGACGGCCTGTGGACTACTGGAGTTGACAGCCAGTGGAATACTGGAGTTGACAGCCTGTGGACTGCTGGAGTTGACAGCCTGTGGACTGCTGGAGTTGACAGCCTGTGGAATACTGGAGTTGACAGCCTGTGGACTACTGCAGTTGACAGCCTGTGGACTACTGCAGTTGACAGCCTGTGGACCACTGGAGTTGACAGCCTGTGGACTACTGGAGTTGACAGCCTGTGGACTACTGGAGTTGACAGCCTGTGGACCACTGTTGATTTCCATTGGTGGAGTAGTGTCATCTAGAGAGAGTGTCCCAGTCTCTGATTCCGATGTACTTCGTTGCGGATAGTCTTCAAATTCTGTTGTGGGGAGCTGTGTGCTTTGTGTAGCAAGTTCACTTGTAGCTGTTGCTTCCAGACTTGATGTTTCCAATCCAAGAGTCGAAGCTGATGCATTGACATCTGGTGATGTAGCAGTTTCTGTAGCAGTCTGTGAGCCCTCTGTTGTTGCTTCAAGCAAGTCTGTTGCGAGGTCAAGTGGTGTTGTAGTTTCTGGCATACTCACTGTTGTAATTTCTTCTCTTGGAGTGCCGGTTGTTTCAGAAGTCGTAGATACCCCACTGACTGTTGTTTCTAATGTTTTTGTTGTTGTTTCACTATTTGTACTCATGGGTGTACTATTCTCAGAACCTGTACTGAAAATTTCATCAGTTGGTTGCAACGTTGAAGTTTCATTGTCCTCCACTAAACTAGTTGTGGATGGGGTACTTAACTCAACAACTTCAGCCACACTAGAAGTCTGAATTGTTTCTTGTGTCAGAGTTGTTTCTTCAATAATTTCAGATGTGCTCATCGCGGCCCGTGACTCCTGCCCCTCTGGACTTGTAAGAGCTTTAATTGTGGACTCAAGCCCCTCTGGCAACGTACCAGCCTCAGTACTTGGCCCTATTTCCTCTGGAATTGTAGCAGCAATAGTTGTTGGCTCCAGCCCCTCTGGCAATACCACAGCCTCAGTTACAGGATCTACGTCCTCTGGAGTTGTAACAGCATTAGCAGAGGTAGTCATGTGACGGTGTAAATCGTGTCTTGCTAGATCTTCCTCGGTCACCATTGCTTTGGTAGGCAGAGGAGCCAATTTGCTGGGAGGAGTCACATGGGTGTCAGGTGGTACTGTTTCCATGGCGCCAAGATCTTGGTCATCATGCAATTTTTCTTTCAAGAGGAGTCTGTCTTCTTCAGTGAGAGCTGGAAAAGAACGGAAATTTACTGCTTGGTGAGCTTGACAACTTTGGTGAACTGTTGGAAAGTGGTAATAAGTAAAAATCATAGAATAGAGTGGGTGGATGGTTTAGATGTCTGCACTTTGTAAGCAGGAGGTCCTCGGTTTGGGGCCCACCCAAGCAAGCTTGAGAATTTTTTCTCAAAAGCTCTTTGAAAGCCCTGGATGAACAGTGCTAAAAATATGTAGGTCATAAGAGTGTCCTATGGGCCACAACATGTTGCCATTCTCTAACTCTATATCTCAGTATGCTATTTAGGCAGTTAGTCTTTGTGTGAAGAACATATACACATTGACTGATAAGAATACATAACACTGTGATAATTAGTAGACCACTTACAGTAGTTATACTTGTAAGCCTCAATAGACGCCAATCGTAGAGGCTTCAGAGCTAGATCCCTGTCTACCAATAGCAGATCGGCATGGAAGACGTCCGTGCTCAACAGACACGGTTGCTCTGGGCCCATTTCCCCGTGTCTACGTGGACGTCCTGGGGGAACCGATGAATCCACACGCCCCTCGGGTCCCATCTCGGATCCCATATTGGGTCCCATATCGGGTCCCACCTCGGATCCCATCTCGGGTCCCATCTCGTGCCCTGGGGGCTCCAACTCTTCTCCCGTGATCTCGCCGCTGAGCCCCTGTGCCCAGAATATGAAGGCATCTTTCCGACCATAGGACTGGAGGGTGAGGGGTGAGGACATGACGGGGCCGATGCTGGGGGTTTTGAGGTACCAGAGAATCTCTCCATTTCTGCCATCCAGGATGTAGACCTAGGAATGAATGAAAATTAAAAACCTCAGAAACTGGAGATACTTGCCATTATAGATGATTTCGGGCACGTGAACACTGTACAGGCCCACTTGGCAAGCTTTTGCGCAAAGCTGTTGCCTCATGACAAATCACCTGAACAATAGCTAGCACAATGCTGTCGTCACTGAAAGGGGCCTCCATGACAGAATTGATAACATGCCTGGATTAGTCTACATCCTACTTTTCAAATTGTTTTAAAGAAACTCTTGACGCAAAGTTGGAATTTTGTTGGAAGGCTTACGTAGGTAGACTTGAACTCGGGCCATGTCCCCTTGCTCAATCGCACCATGAGATCAACGGTGTCGTCGTCATTGAAATAGCCTGGTGCAGGATTGCTGTAGAAAACACAATGAATGAATTTAACAAATGGGGCAATATATTAAAATACTGACTGGGACAAATGTGTTGACACTCGACATTGTCATCATGGTCACGTTGAAAGCTGAAAATTACAACAATATAAGTCATTACTTACAAACAATTGTGGTAAAATGTCTTACTCATGGACACAAGAGCCATCGCTGGATATGCACAGCTACACCACATTGTAAAACATGCATGCAACAAGTATGCAGTGTAAAACTAAAAATAAAGAAGAAAACCCCACTTAACCTTTGGCCTTCAGCTTCAACATTCCTTGGGCACAGATCCCATGCCAATTCCATGGTGCTGCCGAGCACATATATTTGCTAAGCACAGACAATATTTGTGTGGCAAAAAGCAGGCTACCCGCTAAAAAGTCATTCAATGTATAAAGCTTGTGACCGAGTCTCTGCTAATTTCTATTTAGCACATTCATGTATATTTCCTATTTTAAGCCCGGTTCATACTTCACGGGAAAACGAAAGCGAAGCGAAATTCGTGGCGTCAACAATACATTCGAAGTGCGTCCACCATTGTTGACGACATGAATTTCGCTTCGCACATGCTTTCGCGTGAAGTATGAACCGGGCTTTAAGCAGGTCCTTGAAATTGGGTCCTGCGGCACTGTGGAATATCCTGCATGTTGGGTGTGAAGAAGTGTGTCATTTATAACACTTCAAGCACAGATTCTGTATATCTTGCTTGCCCGAGAGCAAGTCACATAGCTTTCGTTAGTTTTACTATCTTGCTGTTTTCAGCCAAAAAGACTATACAACGGCTGCCTGTCTGAAAATATACTATACAGCTATAAGCATAGAAACCAACGTAGCAACAATACATGTAGGTCTGTTTGTGCACATGTGCACTTGTTCTACATAACCCCGAGGACAGACACATAAAGGGAGAACAACAGATCCTTTCAGTCCTCGGGAGTTGGGTCTTTTGCTCAAAGCGGTCCTCTGTAGTAGGTTTGTGTGCTTAGTCTATGGAAAAGTGTTACATTACAGGGACAAAGGGAAACACAAAGCATTGTCCTCATGAGTATAGTAAAACAAGAGAATGTGTGCATAATAGTGTGCGCATTGTGCATATTGTTCCCGTGCACTACAGAGTTGGGTTCAAACATTTCATGAAGGTGTAGTTTGGGAAAGTGTAGGTTAATTGTCAACTAATTTCACATATATTTTAAGTGAATTTTGCTTGAATTAATTAGCTATCATTTAAAATCGAGCAGAATCTGTGGGAATCAGAAACTAGCCTCCCTCGGTGATTCAGTGAGCATTCGATTTCCCTGGACTATGCCTCAGGAAAACAGAACACTCCGTGGACCACCTCAGGAGGCTAGTTTAACCCCTTAAGCACGGGTTATAATGGGGACATTCCTCCACACATAGAGCAAGTGGCCCGCATGACTGCACAGCCTTTGTGTGGTAGCGGGACTGCACAAAAGCAGCAGCTGTGGAACTACCCACTAGCCGTGTGCCACGGCATACCACAGCTGGCAACTGCATTCCAATGAGGATTAGCGGCCACGGCCATGACCGCTTCCCGGGCCCATGGGGTTAACACACCACTCGAGGCAGTCAATATTTGTATAATATACCGGTACTGAGCTATCTTTGGAACAGGGAAACTGAGGGACTATACTCATGTTATTCTGAAAGCCACTGAACCCACCTGTAGGTCTCAAACTCGACAAACCGGCTGCCGGTTGACCAGATGACCTCCAGGTTGAGCCCGTTCAGCACTGTGATGGTGCTGTTGTACATAAACACGACCAGGTCATCTATGCCGTCGTTGTTCATGTCTACCAGCTCCGTGGGAACAGTCACACCCTTGCTGGAATCACTCCTGCCAGGAAGCAAAATGCTTCTTGATTTAGATTCCATGCAGAAACTGCTCTCTTGGTGGTGAAAGTAGACAGATCTATTAGGCCCCAGCCCACTTGTACAGGGTGAGCCCAAAAAAAGGAAACCAAAATGGCGCCCCCTATTTTTATAAAAATTTCTGCACGTAGCGCGTTCAAAATATAGGATGTAAAAGCCCAATTAACAAGCTTTATTTTAGTAAAAGAATCGTTTATATCGCTCATGTACTTTTAAAGTTATGGACTTTTAAACACAAACACCATTTCATAGCTATAGCTACTTCTGTTGTCGGCATATTCCCATGTAGTTGTAAACGTTGAAGACCTAGACAACAGTTCTAGACACAAGATTTAGACATTGCCCAGCAGCCAATTTCACAAAACAGTGCGTAAGTTATGCCATGCGTAGGGCTTGCACAACAAATTTATTGCACAGCTGTGCAATATAACTTGCGATTGAACACCATGTTCCTGGCAGGGTTTGTGCACCAACGCGGCCATCAGGAACGAGTCGAACACCATAACCATGGCATTCTACCAACTGAGCTACACGTATCCACCCTACTTTGACAATATCCAAAACTGTCAACATCTTTTTTTTCTCGGAGCACTTGTCAGAAGTCATGAAACCAATACACAGGGAGTGTTAGAAGAGGATCTTGCCGCATGTGATGATGCTACCAACGCGAGCAATGCTGCAAACCTGAAAATTAGCAGCAAGGAATCTCTCAGAAATAAAAGTCATTCACAAGTAATCATAAGTCCATCACAAGTCATCTGATCTCAAGTCATAAGCTATTCAAAATGAACCGTAACCAAGGCATCCCTTTTGTCATTGTCTGTCCTCCGCTACTGTTGGCCTGACTTGTAATTGACTTGTGAAGAACTCATTTATAAATGAACTCTGGGAAACTACACAGCTTTTCCTTCTGAAATCCAGCTGGCCTTCATACCTGATAATCTCATTGACACCGCTTGATAGAGTCTGTACAGGCGTTCCCCAACTCTCTTCATATCCCTTACTTTGCAAGTGAGTCACGTGGGACAGACTGTTGGCACTGCACGTTGTTATTGACATCACGTAGCAGTACAAGTCTCGCAGGGAGATGGTCCATAGTGAACCTGTATAGAAATCATATTTTCAACAATTTTTACCTGGTATTCATAAATACCTAAGACAGTTTATCCTTTCATATTGGTCGAGAGCCTGTCACATGGCCGATCTTAAACACATGATAAAGACATGGCTAGCTGGTCTTAAACACTTTTTCCAGTGTCACATGAAATTTGGACTCCTATGAAATCCAGTGCTTTTTATCGTTTTATTGGTTAAACATTCACAATCTTCATATAGGCATGCACAATACTACCAGTGGTTCAATATTTCATAGTCCTAAATTCACACCTAAGCGACATCGCGCCAATCTCCGTAAAAGTAGTTGCTTACATCTTACTCGCAAGTTTGACACTCCACTGTAAAGCTTAAGGAGTGCCCCTCTCAAATTTTATTCAAGAGACACATGCCAGAGGGAAATGTAGGAAGTTTGGCAGACAGGTGGTGGTTGTAAATTCATGCCTGTGCTTGGTCAAATTATCGAGGGGCGGGGCTTAATCTATTAGGGGGATGATGTACCTGCAATAGTTTCACCCCCTGATCCAAACAGCAAGTAGACAGCTCCGTTGTGCCTTGTGTAGAGTGTTATAGCTGAGTAGGTCTCATGCTCATCAGGTAAGGACAGATATCTGCCCAGGCTTCGTCCAGTCTTGCCCGACAGGAGGAGCAGCCTTCCTGCTGGCCTATCCAATTCCTGAAGAATATTAACAGTAGGCTTCAAAATTGACTGTCAGCAGAGTCTGCAGTGCCTTAGGGCTGTGTATTTCTCTTGACCAACTATAGTGCGGCTTTCATTGGACGGCATGAGAGAAAAACAAATCTTGTTGAAAGCCGCGCTGTGGTTGGTCAAGAGAATAAAAGCTTTGCTAATAATCACTGTTATAAATGTGCACATGCAACCGTTGGCACACCTACGCTGTGAACTGATGATTTAAGTTGGCAGAATTTTCTGCTATAGTAAGCACAACTTTTCTGCTAACCCTGTTAACAGGCATGCAACTTTTCATTGGATCCACTGATTTCCTCGTTTTTTCCCTTCTCATTAATGCCATTACAAATTGAAAATTACTGTAAAAAGTCTTGTGTGATTTGGAGTTTCCTCGTTTTTTCCTTCTAAATTTCCAGTTGCATGCCTGTGTTAAGTAGTGCCAAGAAATTGGCCCAAGCTCTAGTTGATTGGGCCCTGTACTCTTCCTAAGCACATAGCCTCAAAGCACATTTTGGCCATAGACTGCAATCAGGTGCGGTGGAAACCAAGGAAGGCAAACCTTTTCGGAGAACCTGGTGTCGCCACCGTGAGTCACCACAAAATCTTGGACGCCATCTTGATCCATATCGGGTACAACTTGACCTTGGTAGAAGTTGAAATGAGGATTGGTCACGCTGGGATCGGCTGACCACAGAATCACACCTGTTATTTTGGTTTTAAATGGAGGAAAAAAAAGATGAAAGGCTAGTAATCATTCTCTTGCGGAATCACACATCTACTCAAAGGCATGTTTGAATCGCAACATACGACGTAAGAAGTTTCAGCATAGTCCTTCACACTTACCTTTAATTGGATCAATACCATGCAGTGTGGCCATACGTCCGGCCGCTACACAGTCCATATGGCCATCTTGATTGATGTCTAGTTTCCCACACTGAATGGCAAATACTTCCACTTCGGTATATATAGTCCATAGTCTGGTGCCATTGCGTCCATCTAATGCCATGATCAGTCCCGCACATGGATACTTCATATCTGGATAAAAATAAGTTAAATTTTGGAATCTCCTGACTTGATATTTGACAAGAAAGAAATGAGTCATTTTTTCATTTTTTTTATTTGTGCACGTTATCTTTCTTTAAAGTAATTATCAAAGCAAGTACCATTATAATTGCCACTGGAGTGAACTAAAACATTTCAATGCAAAACCTGAATTGCACTCAAAGTGACTCACCATGTTTTCTGCAGAATTCGATTTCGCTCTCTATGTCCTTTAATGAGGATGTGACGGCTGCCCCAAGAATAACATCCTCGATGCCATCTTGGTTGACGTCGTAGAGACGCATTGCAGTCTCTGTGGCTAGAGGGCAAAAGTCGAGAAATTGATCAGGACTTGATGATCATTTCCAATAATTTTTTTTTTACATTTTTGAAAGACAGACAAGTTTTCCCGACACGACTCTTAGAAAGTTTGAGTAAATTTTGGTTTACAAATTACATATGACGAGGCCTCGCCTAGCGGGCACATCGGCTACACAAATTCCCAGTGCTCTCCCAGGTTCCCACCCCCAAAAAAACCCTGAAATTTGCTGCTTGCCAAGGAAGTGTCTATTTAGTATATTTTTGAGTAATTAATTGGAAGAGCACTATAGATGACTGTTTTTTACTTCCCTTAACCCTATGGCTTTATAAAATCTGAATAAATTACTAAGGAAAAAAGAGCGCCCTCTAGCGTCCAAAGAGCTCCAAGCTCCCCCCCCCCCCAAAAAAAGTTGTTGGGTCTGCCCTTTTTGCCCCCTCGTAACATGCTGGTGCCCCCCACTATAAAAAACCTGGCTACGCCACTGCGGCTACACTGCGAGTCGCCCACTTCGCAGGCAAGTCACCTGCTACGAGGTATGAGTCGCCTGCGCAATCACCTGCTTCAGTCAATTTTGGATACTGATCAAGTGATCTTAGTCCCATGAATATTGATGTACAGCCAACCAATGAAAATACACTAAAGTACATCATACCATATTCATAAGTGGAAGATGTCCATCCCAGTCCCACTGTGTTTTGTGCCCTAGGTCTTATCAAGTACAGAGCTCCAAAGAGCAGCGCAACAACGACAAGCACAACGAGCAGACAGACAAGGCAGCAGCATGAGGAAGGTGGACTATTCCTCCGGTCCCGAGACCTGCGAGTGTCCTTGTAGAACTCGATTTCCTCCTCCGAGTCATATCCATTCTTGGCCGGCAATAGACGGCCGTTCTGGCTACCCTGGTTGTCCAAGTCAAACAAAAGGTTGTCTTCATCAAGATCATCGTGGTGCTCATGCGTTCTTGTTATGGTCGAGCCCGACGGAAAGAAGGTATCAAGTGGAAGACGCTCATAGCGCGGTTTTTTTCGGGATCCACCTGATATAAATTACAGGAAAATGTAAATTGTTAAAAACATGACACTGCAAAAGATTTCACACATTTTGAATGTATATATTTGGAAAGAATGTTGCAACTTGACTCCACGTTTTCGTCATATATAATCTCAATAAAGGTCAGTTATTGCAAAAATGTTGAAAAGACACAAATCTGGGACTGAGAAACATTTCCAATTTTGTTATGTTAGGAAAAACTTCTTGACTTCTTGACTCTCCATAGATTTTGTACACAACTGCTGTAGGGCTGTACATTGAAACAGTACCCGAGTACCCGACCACTGATATCTGATTGTCAGGAACCGGTTCCAGATTATGGACTCGAGTACCCATCCATATATAAACCGGTACTTCACTAAGTAAGTTCTCAGACAATCATGACAATGAGAAAGAAATTAAAAGGATTGGAATGTCATTTATGGGGTATTTCCAAAATGAAAACCAGGCTACATGAAAAAACAAAACAGATTCGCATTTATGAGGTAGAATTAGAAACTGATCCAGTGATCATTTGATCAAATTGCGCACTACCTGACTGACATGACTGATGACGAGTAGCATGAGTAGTGCAACAGCAACATTTGGCATGTTTGGTAGTTGGGGCCTATTTAAAAGTTCATAATTGATAGACCTTGGCTTAAACTTTTTACTTACCATTAAAAAAGGAACCCATTGCTCCCATAGGATCGGAACAGATAACGTTCAACTTCTCGCTTGCAACAAGGAATTTCCAATAGTTTACGTGCACTGCTAGTGAGTGCTACGCCGCAAGCGTTAAAGCATTGTAAATTTGTGTGGATGTGACTAGGATGTCATTGGCGTGTGGCTGTGGTAATTCGTGTGTACGTGTTGTGACACGATTTATTGAAACTTTCGTTCGCCGATCTTTCTCTTCTTTCTCGCCCGATTGAAGACAAAAGCAGGCTCAACATTGAAGGTTTTCATAAAAAGTAACTTGGGTGAATCGGTTAGTGGTAATCATTTTTCTGAGTTTTCTTTTGATCGTGTTGATTAGTTGCGAATTGCGTTTACTTGTTCACGTGCCAGTGTATACTGAGCATGGACTTCCGGATTTGAGAGCTAGAGACGTCTGTCGAGGACCAGCCTTGTTCCCGGAGTCTACTTCATTTCTACGCGTTCTTAATTGTATAGTGTCGAATGGGTGCGAGATTGTCTGTCCGTCTAAAAGGCTTGCTTTTTGAATATAAAAAGGATCGAACTTAAAACAAGCCTGTCTTTCCCCCCTTTTTTAAGGTTCGTACTAAAAAGCAATCACTCGATTCTCGATCTAAGAGCGCATCTTATTTTGAAAAAGTTTAAAAGCGTTGGGGACCGGTGAGGTCAATAAAACTTAAAAGTTCCCCGTGACGACGATAAAGTTTTTTTCTGGGAGTGGTTCCCCGATAAAGACTGGCACCACTTCGTACAGCAAATTTACCTCGTTGTTCATTATAATGGTGACATTAGGAACAAGGCAGCCAACCACGCTATTCTGCGCGGAGCTGGAGCTACTCATGCAGAAACATCTGTGCATGGAGGAAGATAAACAGATTATGTATGATTAAATATCACCAAAAATGTTTCGATAATGCAATTTATACTAAATATGATTTATATTTTAATTGTTTCCAATCAATAAATCAAAAAAGTGACGAGCAACATTTTGCACAAGATTTATCTAGGCGTGTGTACCCTTGATATTTTCCATGACGTCACGAGATCAAGCTAACTGCGTAAAGGTGGTGGTGTGGTGTTTTTTTCTCCGTAAAACAGAATTTTACTCAAAATATTTGATAGTTTACCGGAACCAAAATAAACATGTCTGCCCAGGAGCAGATGCGTAAAATGCTCGACGAGCTTATGGGAACAACCAGGAATGGTAAGATTGTAGGAAGAAGGATAAATTCATTGTTTTATTTGTGACCCAACCATGCCAACATTCCGTAGTTTCAACGTTTCTCTTCTTCTGTTCAATTCTAAGTTGGGCCATGTAGAAAACCCATTTGCGAATTCGTGCCCAATTACTGATTAAAAGGCAGCAGTAAGGCTTGGCCATTGATTATAAAAGTGCAGAAGAAATTTGTTTATAAAAATCAACATTTGCATCAGTGTGCATTCTCTCTTTCCAGATAGAATTTGAAAATTCATGAGATTTTTTTTTTGCGCTTTTTGCAGTCCTGCTTAGCAAGCTGATTTATTTTGATCATCAACGTAAAAATTGCAAAAAATGGCTCCGTCAAAATGTCACGGCAATGAATGTGAAAAGTCATGCAGTTTATATGTGGAAACTGCCTTTCTGGTATTTAGGGCCGTTGGAAAAAAAAAATGTTTTGAGACAAAGCAAGCAAAACTGCATGATTTTGATAGCATTTTACTGTTCTAGATAGAATAGAGTACACTATAAATAAGTAGGACAACAAAATGGAGCTAAACCCTTTTATTTACAGCTTTCTTTGGCCCGTCTGTTGTAGGATCACAATGTTTGACAGCATCAAAAGAAAGTGTCTTCTATTACGACAAGCAGTTGCCGTGAGTTGTTCGTTATATTAAAATGTGTTCTCGTTTAGGTTGAGGAGTTACATGTAACCTCAACTCCAAAACAGTGATTTGTTACCGACTTTTGGATGAAATCTGAATAATACTTCAACGTTGAACATGTATCAATATTTTTTTTAATACATATTACTAGTCTAATTAATCTCAGTGATTAATATGTTACATGCATGTATTTTTGAAAAAAAAATTAAACTAGTGAATTAACTTAAATTATGAAATTGAAGAAATTTTAACTGAATGTGTTAATTTTGGTTCTTACTGGCTGAAAATACTTTGTTCTTTGGACATTGGTAAGTTGAAATCTTCCTTTTTAGTCTTCATGATGTATAGTGTACATACATACCTAGTGAATAAAATTTAGTCAGCCTCATTAAATCACCTTCCCCCACCTAAGGCAATTGACACAATAAAGCCAATAAAAAAAAACTTGATATAAAATTAAAGCTTAACCCTAACAGTCCTGAACCCTCAAATTTTAATGTCATTTTTTTTACTTGGTCTAGGGATTTAGAGTAAAGGGTATTAAAAAAAATGATATACTTCCAAAGTGCTTTTTCAAACAAGTCAAATGTTCAGTTTTTTTGGTGTTTTTTTTAGAGTAATTCTTAAGTCTTCCAGGTCTGAGCTACACGTAGTTACCTTTGGTATTTCAATTCTAGTGCTAATTATTCTTTTCCCTAAAAAAACTTGAAAGCTGAATAAGTTTAATGGCACAACTTCAACTTGAAGAAATACATGCTGTTTACATGAAGGAAACAAGTAAATTTTCATTTTATGTAGTACTTAGTCAAGTGTCATAGACCAGCAAATATGTTTTCGTAAAGTGCGTAAATAAATTAAACACATTCATAACAAAATAACTTTTTATACAAATTGGGTAAATTATGCAGTGGAATTTATTTGTTTTCTATAAAATTGGTGTAATTCGATACACACTTTAAAATTGAGATTCACAGAATTTAATAATTGGAAACGTATTGTAATTTAAATTGGGAAGTCATTTGCTGTAGAATATTGTGAGAACTTAGGAGTACATTATCAAATAAAGCAGAAAGACAAAGCACTGGTAAGAGGGTAAGCTTACCGTGTGCATTGCGCTGCTCTCTACGTTCTTTAACCTTGTGAATTTATTATGCCAGGTGGCTAAAAAAGCGTCATCTTCCGTGCGTCAGGTCTGCCAAAGGACAGCTTGTAGCGTTATCCGTCCAGAGAGATTAGCCAGAAAATCCACTGCTTTTCCTACACTTTCCGTGTGTATTAAACAATATTTTCATTGTACAATGTAATCATGGATTATGGAGAGTGCTCTGTTGCGAGTTGTGACAACATCGTCAGCTAGACTGTAGCTTCTTTGCAACATCTACACATGTTATTAACCAATTATTTGAACAGCTTTCCTACAAGCTGAAACGACAATTTGAGTATCTTTGATAGGATCACTGAATTTTACCTGTCAGTTCTTTGGAGTTTTGAGATGAGTTCAACTCATTTGAAAAATATCTGAAAATGTAGATATCAAATACTGTCAACGTTTTAAAATGTTGGAAAGGTGAAACCCTATAAAATCAAAGATGAATTAAAATAATTCATAACGAGCATATTATGTGGAAACTAGAATTTACTCCAGTCTTTTACTCAAAAATCTGAGACCTCGAAAAAATTTGCATAGTTATTTGTCAGGAGACAATTTCTGTTTATGCGCCTACACAGTTTGCGTTCAAAAGCCTAGGTCTGGATCCCTGTGTCATTCCTATGGTGTTTTTGTTTTGTGTGTGACAGGTGAGGAGGAAGCCATCAACCATGTCAGCTTTGAGAGTCCACGGGTCTGCCGTGCGTTCCTGCTCAACGCTTGCCCTCATGATATTCTGGAAGGCACGGTATGTTGGTGTGTTTGTTTGTTTGTGTTTGTGGGGTTTTTGGCTCATTTAAAAGTTTCAGGAATGATTCATGCATGTCAACCTAAAAACTATTGGGAGCAGTAAAGGTAAAGGGGACGAACCTGTGTTCACAGGAACGGAGTGCCCATCTCTCTTTCGTTAGCGATTGGGCCAGACTCATATGCTGCTGTGGGGGGATCGCCACACCACCTCCACAGCGAGTCTGTTACCTTCCCAGCATTGAACAATGCCGGTACCTATTTAACGCCTGGGTTGAGAGGAGTAATTGAGGTAAAGCGCCTTACTCAAGGGCACAACATGCATGGCCACGGTGGGGCTTGAACCCACAACCTCTCGATCACGAATCCTGTGCTCCACCGCTAGACCACATGTGCCCTAAACAGTTACATGGGATTAACACAAACCATCCTCCAAGGTCCTACGGCGGTTTTGGAGGAGTTTCGGAGGATTGAGGCTGAATACAACTTACAATTTGGAGGATTGTGGAGGATTGAGGGCATATGGACTCTCCGTATCGGTTGATTTTGAAGGATTGAGGCTGAATGGTGTTTGAAGAAGAGGAGGATTTTAGCGGATTGAGGCTGAATGCATTTTCAGACGCAGGGCTGTTAGAAGATTTTGAAGGAAATAGGCAGTGGGTATCCTTTGTTTGAACATAAGTGCGACGTTTTGGAGGATTAAGGATGGTTTCTAGCGGAAAAAAAAAGGCCCGGGGGTTAGGGTTCCATCAATCATTTTCTCATCTTAGCTTGCAGTGAGCCACTGAGATAAACAAGAGTGCTTTCAAAATTTTGCAATGACTATCTATTTTGATATCTCTTCTGAAATTTGCTAATCTTCGTCAACTGTTTATCAGCAGTTTTGTGAAGTCTCCCCTTTAAGTACAAGACCATTGAATATATATCTAGTTGTGTAGTTTCTAGTGGCAAGTGAATAGCCTTACAAGATTGACAGCTCAGCTACTTATATTATCATCATATTAGACAGCAACAGCTTCACTGCTTATCTTCTTGTTCTTTCTTTCTTTGTTGTACAGAGAATGGACCTGGGTGCTTGCAACAAGGTTCACGACCCAGCGCTGCGTGCTGACTATGAAAGCGCCTCCCAAAATAGGGAATACGGCTATGATGTGGATGTAAGTAGCTTTTTTGTTATGACGCTTGTTCTGATTTGGGTTCCCCTTATGAGCTTGTTGCAGAAACAGTCGTGGGTGGTGTGTGCCTACTACTCATGGTAGCCAAATAGGAGTAATAATGGCACCTTAGAATCTTTTTGGTCTGTCAAACTCAAGCCTGTTGCAGTTTCAAGTGGAGTGACTTTAGTGATGGTATTCTGACTTTTCCGCCAATGGTTTTACGTGGACACACAGTGGATATAAGCTTGTTTTGTTGGGTTGTTTTTTTTCATTGCAAGGAGCTAAAGACTCTCTGTATCTAAACAACAACAAAAGTCTACCCTAACCCTACTTAATCCAACAAGATCCAACTATTTTACTTTTTTGTTGGGTCTTGTTGGATTGAGCAGTAAACTCCTTGTTGGATTCAGCAGGCAACTGAAAAAATTCAGAGTCGGATTCTGTTGGGTACCGGTAAATAACGCCAAGTTGGACTCTGTTGGATCCAGCAGCAAAGAGAAAAATAAGGGGCAGTTGGATTCTGTTGGATTGAGCACACCAGTCAGGTACCTGAACACCATGTTCAGGTACCCAACAACTTTGCAAGTTGGGTTGTATGGGACTGTGTTGGATGAGCAGGAAACTCATATGAGTAACCTTAAGACTCTGTTGGATTTAGCAGGGTAGTCCTGGGGAACTACTAGATATATAGTATGTACAGTTTAAAAATCCACATCTCCCATTCAAACATGTTTTTCCTTTATAATTGCCCACGTTTGTTTTTAGGCTATGCAGCAGTTGAGTGTCTTCATTGCCGAGTGTGATCACCGCACAGAGATTGCCAAGAAACGACTGGCCGAGACCCAAGAGTCTCTCAGCCAAGAAGTGAATTCCAAGGTACTTACTCTATGTTCATGTTTGTAGAATTGCAAGTCTAGTTTTTAAAACAAACTATTTTGGCAATATTCTCATCAAGAAATTGCAAGTCTAGTTTTTAAAACAAACTATTTTGGCAATATTCTCATCAAGAAATTGTAACCCAGTTAAAAAAAAAAGACAAATGATTCTCTTGCCCCAAAACAAATGTCTGTGAGTGCAAGCACTTTTTATCATGTTTTTGTCAAAACAATGACTTCACATCGTGATAAGTGCTTTCTGAATAAAAAAAATAATAGCTACGAAGAATGTGCACGAAAAAGCCACATGTTCCTGGTTTTGTGTTGTTGCAGTTTACAGAGAGTCAATCAGAAAGTAGCTAACGACAAAATGTATTCATTGCATTTTTCATACACTATGTACCTTGTTCCTATTGAGAGTCCTGTCAGCTTAAAACCAAATCCATTTATGTGCGATTTTTTAATGCCTACACGTAGACTGTTTCCCGGCCCCCCTTAAAAATATGGGGACCGGTAGCTAGCTCCCATTTAAATCCATTGATTTGATGACCTCTGCGCACGAACAGCATGATTGTTTATTTTTGAATCACTATTCAGTTTTGCACATGGACGAAATTTGAACACATGGTTTAAAAAAAAATTGACTCTTGTATTTACCACAAAAAGTACGCAAAATTGCCAGTGTGGCCATGAAGGCAACTTTCAAGCATTTCAACTGAAGAGGTTTTAAATGCTGAACAATGATGCCCCTCTCGTTATTGATATTTGCCAGAGACACTTTCGAATCCAGCAAAAATGGAAGCTCATCAACTCGGAAATTGCACATTCGTGTGACCTGTTACCATTTTGCAATAGGCTGGTTGCGCGCAAACATTGCCCTTGTGATTTTGAATTCATATCAGGAGGCGGGTTTCGGACCTATGCATGTCATGCATATAACTTGCGTACATTAGGAGAAAAGCCTCGTAATGTATTCAGGATTCACTGCTAGCTACCTGTCCCCATATTTGAAGTCCGAAGGACAATGGGGACAGGGAACCAGACTAACGTATGAAGAGAACAGAAGTAGTGGAGCAGTGCCATCGTTCACACCAAAAACCCAACCACCCTTTTTTTTGTCTTCGCCTCCCGTACATGACTCTCAATATTGCCATCATTCTCTCCTTGGACAGATGCAACCCCATGCCAACAGCCCTCTTGCTAAGCAGCCGATTGGGTTAAATTGGAGGGATTTATAAGAGGAGTTTGTAAGTCAAAAACCCAAACAAAACAAACACCAAATAATTGTTGTCCTGATGATGAATGATGATGATGTGTGACTATAGTGTATTAACTATCACCCAGTGGTCTCGTGTAAAGAGCGTTGCTCTCTCCTGCTTAGTTTCGCAATAGCTATAGTGACATTAAAAAGTTGAAGCAAAGTTACTGAGCTGAAATTTGTTTATTTTGAAGTGTTGAATTTCAGATGCCCAAACCAAATAGCCCCCGTGTATTGGGTCCACCATAGCAGGAAAAACAAAAAACGTCAGGAAAGTTGGCAGAAATTTTGATGGAAAAATTTTCTTGATGCAACAATTTCCTGGGCAGCTTTGTGCGATAAAGGTCACAAAAGGATACAGTTGACATCATATATCTTCTGTGAATTTCTAGTCTAGTCTGGATTTGGAATAGAATTTTAAATTTTTTTTTAAAAACACAGGTTGTCCGTGCTTTTAACAAGAAAAAAATGTTTAAAACAGTAATGAGACATTTATATGCAAGGTCGGGAGAAGTCGATTTAATAGTGTCCCCCAAGAAAATGTAAACCAGTGTGTGTTAATAATTTGTAGTGAATGGTCCGGGCGACTGAAAAGTAACATGCGTTGTAAGGGCACCGAGCGCGGTACTGATCGCAAATGTCAGTTGATACTTTGTTTATGAAAATACAAAATAAATAGCTGCTGCTTCTAATGAAATTAATACAACTTACTCAACAGCAGCAAGTGTCACCACAGAGGGTTAAAATTGGACAAAAAAACGATTGTTAAATACTCTTTATACCTCCTCAGGACAAAACGAAATGAAGCATTTTGAAGAAGTTTAAACTGGGCATTTACGAGATAACATTTTATAACGTTAAAAGGTGAAGGGGACTGACATTTACACTCAGTGCTAAGCCAGTGGCTTGAGATTACTCCACAGTCGCCTGGATCACACTGCCTACTTGTGCCCTCTTTTTAACACTTTTTTCCCCTCCCATCTTAATCCTAATGTCTCGGCAGGCAAATCGCGTCCATCTCCTGGCCGAGGAGATTGGCAAGAAGCTGGCTGATGCCGAAGCCATGGGAGAGAAGGGAGACGTGGAGGAGTCTATGAAGATCATGGCCGAGGTGGAAGAAATCAAGAAGAAAAAATTTGAGGCAGAGGTGAGGCTGATTTTGTTTATTGACATCTTATGTGTACTAGCAGACATGGGAAACTTGATGTTACAATGCAAGTGGGGAAAAAAAACATTAATTTTAACATTTATTGTGTCATGTTGCATTGAATTGTGGGATCAGTACTCTCTCCCCCCCCCCCCCATCTTGATTTTGGTGCGGAACAAGAAACTTCTTATAATTGTGAGAAAAAAAATTGAAAAAAGATATATAAGTTCCAAGCCGCCCATAAATTAAATTTATTTCTTTAAGCTTGTTATAAAAACCCGACAGTTAAGGCAGAAAGGCACGCGTACGTACGCATGTACATAAGTATTGCTACAGGATTCCATTATGAACAACCCCTCCTAGTGTCAAGTGTGGGCCCCACAAAAACATTTTTTAAAGAGGCTGAAGGTTTAAGGAAGGTGAATGAATTGGAAATATGATTCTTCCCAAAACGGTGTACATGGCTTAACATTTGAAAGCAGAAAATTGTAGAGAGCGCTTTGGTTTCTCCTTCCTTCACCCCCCTTTTTTTTATCTGCACATGCCCTGCCCAAAGGGTAACCCATCATCTTAACTCTGTTTTCATTCGGCCCACAGGAGGAGTACAAGAACTCAATGCCGGCATCCACCTACCAGCAGCAGAAGCTGCGTGTCTGCGAAGTCTGCTCAGCCTACCTGGGACTGCAGGACAACGATCGTAGACTGGCCGATCACTTCGGCGGGAAACTCCACCTGGGTTTCATCGAGATCCGAGAAAAACTGCAGGACTTGAGAGTGAGTTTTTCTCCCATTCCTCATGCATAATCACGAGGGGTACCAGTGTTGTCGTTGAGTCCATCACAAGTCCATTCCAAGTAAATCACAGGCTTATTCACAAGTCAAGTCACAGGTAAATCATAAGTCCTACAAGTTATTTGGGGATGATCAGTTCAAAGGAATGCGGAATCTGTTGGTACCCTTCCTGGAATGCAAAAGACAGAAGAGGTCATCGGAAATGCATGTTTTTGTGTAATTTGTGTCCAACTAAGACTTTTTAAACTGATATTCCTCCAAAAAGCATACCAGCAGCATGTATGATCTTTCATCTTTTGTTATCTTGCCAAAACCAGACCCGAGTTGCTGAGAAGAAGGAAGCCTACGAAGCTGAGCGAGCCGAACGGAGGAAGGCCCAGGAACAGGAACGTCTGGACAGAGAGAAGGAGCGAGAGAAGGAACGTAGGGAACGCAGGTCAGATACAAAAACAGTTTATTCATCTGTATTCCTCTCCTCCTCCCCCCCCCCCCCCCAAGATTCCCTTGTTTGGCTTTGTACAAAGCCAGAGAGTTGAATTTTCAAGTTTTGTTTAAACCGTGTGGACTTGGTCAAGGGCTGGATTCAGATTATGTCCAAAATGTGCCGACAGTCCCTGGCAAGTGCAGCAAAGCTGCGTCGGTGATAGGGGACTTTGATCAACAACTTTTGATTTGCCTTACATAATTTCATTTCTTGTATCTTGTTGCCTCTTTGACAGAAGGAGGTCTCGTTCACGTTCCGGTTCCCGATCAACCAGGCGACGCTCACGGTCTCGCTCAAGGAAACGCTCCCGGTCACGATCCAGAGACCGCCGACGCAGGTGAGTGATGGCACTTAGTTAAATTACAGTTTACTCTTGCTTATATACAGTGGGTATATATAGGTGGGTTACAGCTGAATTCTGGGTGTAGCGAACATAAATCCTTGATTCCAACGGTAAAATTATTCAAAATTCTGATATGACTTAACAGTTTGGCTAGGTCCAACTGATTTTGTATGTAATGGGAGTAAACCCATTAGCACCTGTACTACATTGTGTTTATTCACTGAAGAATCAATCGGACGAGGATCGGACAGTTTCGGGTGCTCCAGTGACTTAAGGTTCAGTTGAGGGGAACGAGCAAAGTTGAACAGTTGTGAGAACACAAATTGTCTGATGTGGTTGGCAAATTGCACAATTAAAAGTCGAAGGTTGAAACAGTAATCAACAGAATGGTTAAAGAATCTGTGTAGAAACTGTAGATGGCGCTGTTTTCATTTCTTGCAACAGCCAAAGAGGGATACTTTACATGTTAGTTTCTGTTTTTTTACATGCAATACAGTGGGTAATGGGCGTGATAAATTTTCATCTAAATGTGTGCAACCCTGTAGCTTCTTTGAGTGTAAATGGGCGCACAACAGAGAAGGTGCACAAATGTAGTTTGTCTTTTGATCGCTGCAGACATAGTTTTGCACTTGGTCGATGTTGACCTCGTACGTAATTCCATCGCGGACAGATGCAAACGGTCACTCAGTTTCTTCACTTTTTTGCTTTTGTCACTAAGGTCACGATCACGCTCCCGAGACAGACGCCGCAGCTCTCGCGACCGAGACCGTCGTCGCCGATCTCGCTCCCGGGACCGCCGTCGCAGATCACGCTCTCGGGAACGCCGCCGCCGTTCTCGCTCACGCTCCCGTTCTCGTGACCATCGTCGCAAATCTCGCTCTCGATCCCGCGACCGCCGACGCTCGTCGCGGGACAGAGATGAGGAAAGGCGCAGCCGACGCTCCCGGTCTGATTCCCGTGAGAGAAAGTCGCACTCCAAGTCGGAAAAGGCCGAGTCCTCGCCAGCACCACCAGAACCGACCAACGACGAGGAATTGGCTCAAGACAAGAGTCCAGGAGCCGAGGATGTTCCCCAACCAGCAGTGGAAAGCCCCGAAGCTGTTTCTCAAAACGGAGTGGATAGCCCTCCACCTAAAGACAACACCTTAATGGAAGAGGGAGAAAGAGGTGATAGCCCTTGAAAGAAATTAATATTCTCACATGTCTTGTTCTCGTTTGTAAAGTCGGGAGCCAATTTTTATTTGAACTTCTGATAAAAAATGTTCATTGCGGTACAGAGAAGCTTTCAATAAAGCCTCTTTAGGAGTTTAATAGTATTGTGTGAAGTTAACTCCTAGTCATTCTCCAATCCTACCTCATGCAAAATTGAATTGGGCTTGACATTTCCTATTTTCGGCTCCTAATTTTCTATACATACATTTGATTTTCGGTTCACTGAACATTCTTTTCCAATCCTAGCTAGCAAGAAGGGCAACCTCTTTTTTTCTTATTCAAAAAAATAATACAGATGTAAATAAAAAAAATTAAGGGTCAATATTTCTTTCTTTTTTAAAGTTGAGCTCTGAATATTCGCATTCTGGTTAGTGTAAAACAGTTTTGTTGCTCTATTTGTAAATGACAGCCTTTTAGATTCCTCTAAAAAAAACACAATAAAGCCCCCTCCCCCAACAAAAAGTAGATGAATTGTAAAAAATAAGTGGCAAAAGCCTTTACTTGTTCCATTTTAATGTTTGTATCTTGTGATGTGGTAATTCCTTCCATTAAAAATATCACTGACTTAATTAAACCGTGAAATGTACCAGTTTGTTTGGTTTCTGTTACCGTTTTTTAGCCTTCCCTTGATATCAGAACGTAAATGGAGTTACTACTCGGCTGTGCACAAAGTGGTGAAAATTTGAAGAGAAATTTCAAATGGAAGGTTGTGCACCTTCTCTGTAATGGATTATCAGGCATAGGAGTCTTTTTGAATAGCATGGTGAGGTCTTGCCATCAAAATCTGAACAACAGTAATCTAGATTTCTGTATAAATGTGGACAAAATGGAAGGGAAAAACGGCACTTGTAAAGTTACCGGCCCCATTCCTATGACAAAGTTACTGGCCCCATTCCTATGGCAAAAGCATTGATTTGCATGACATCAACTGGAAAATGGGACAGAAAGTCACATTCTTTTTACTGTTCAAATAATATGAATATGGTCATAAGAGGTAAATGAAGATTGTTTAAGGTTACAGAAGTCATTTTGGAATGAAAAAAACATACCTGGGACTAAAACGAAAGAGGGCCCCATAACTTCACTAAACTGAAAGAGGGCCCATAACTTCACTAAAACGAAAGAGGGCCCCATAACTTCACAATGGCCAAAAACAAAATCATTAATGTGATGGAAGTGTGTGTATCTCATTCCAGCTTATATGTTGTTAAATTTAATGTACACTTGTCTCTTCTGATACATGTACTACTCATTCTTATTGCCTTAATCGCTCACATTTTGCAGATAATCTGAAAGAATTGTGTGATTTCATTTAATTCCTCTTTTATTTTGGTAGTCATGGAAATTGTTTTGACCTTTAAAGCATGTGTAATCTGTATTGTACTATTGTTATGCCCCTGCATTTTTGTGTTTTTATAATGACCTCCCTTACCTTAAAATAAATTGCAGAGTAAACTTTCTGCTTTCATTGTTCAATGTTCATACATGTATATAATACTAAAATTGGCCTCCTCAGCACAAATGATTTGTGTTCAATAAACGGACATTTCTGGTTAGAAGGAAGGGTATTATTGTCATTTTGACTGGTTTATCAGTGTCAAATATTTTTATTCTCAATATTCTGTGCGAAATTCCCCTCTTGTTTTAAGTGAACATTTCCACAAAAGGTGGTTAAATGGAGCTCGTTTTCCTCCAAATGTTCTAAAAAAAAAACAGGTCTGTGAAGTGATTACATGTACCTAGGAACGTCCTTCTTTTATAATCTTTCAGTGTATACTTTAGCTTGCAATACGATCTAGGACAAGTGGATGCTGTGTCTTCTTTAAAATAGCCCGATTGTTAATGGCAGCCATTTTGGAGGTGCAGTGCTTTTGTTTGTTACCTTGTGCTACAGCGCCCTCTATCAAATATGTAAGTGACGCGTTAAAGGGGCTCGTCCTGAAATCTTTCATGTTTTAGATTATCCTATTCCAAAGGTCTGGTTGAAAGGAAACTAACCTAATGTCCATTGCTCCTGAGAAAAGATGGGGGAAAACCGGTTGTTCACATCTGACGTGGCGAATATTTTGTGGCATTCGCATACGCATTCCAGCCTTAAATAATGTTCCTTCTATGGACGAAGAGTTGCCCCCAACTTCTATGTCCCATGATGTCAAGACAGTTCTGGTAGGTACACGTGTGTGTATTTTTACGAAACGCGCAACGCGCGTTTCAAATGTTGCGCTTCCAAAGGAACATGTGTGACCAGAATCAGAACTACGTGTAGCACCCAAACAGCCCGATTTACTGGGTTGTATCCGTAGATGCTCAGACTTGAGACATGTACACGGACTTTGCAAATTTTCTGTAATGACGTATAGGCGCTAGCCTAATGATCCTTTTTCTTCCTTGCGATACCCGTGACATACCCAAGTTTATAATGGGCCCATAGACAATGCTTATCTTGCAAAATGAGTACTAAGAGGTCATAGGCCATTCGTTGTAGCTTATCGATAATGGATATCATACTCCATACTTTATTTCCTACTTGAATGGTATAACAGTATCGAAACCACATACAATTTTAATGACATATTTTGACTTTAACGAAACCCCTCCACCAACCCCATACCGAGATTTAATATACAGCCACTAGGCACAATAAAATAACCTTTATATCTAGTTTTCTATAATTTACATAATTATATTGTAGTATTCTTGAGGTTTTTACGGAACTTAATGCTATATGTAACAGTGCTGTAGTCAGGTTCTTTGCTGAGATCGGCAAATGCACTGAAATATAATGTACCGAGAGGAGCTAATGTACAAATTTAACATGGTTGGAGGTTGGATAGTTTTGAATATCCACCAAACCAAACCATGTTACATTGGTTTTAATATAAGCCTCACATAAATTCACCAACATTTCGTCGAGTAATACTTATCAGTATATCGTGGTAAAACAAAAACCTTGCTGTATATATGTTGGGATAGTTCTACGATTTCTTAGTAAAGCGCATGCGTAGTAGACTATCGCACAGTTATAAACCCATCCGATAGTCGGCTGCGGATGAGTATTTACCCTGCACGCGAATCCTCGCGTGTGCCTTTGGTAAATAGCAAGTGGTAATTGCCAATGGACCAGTAAAGAATTTAGCTCTTGCTTATGAATTTATAGTTTTGGTATAGTAATAGGAATTTCACCCCAAAAGGTAGTTTTGCCCGAGTATCTGGGGCTTGAATCCGAGTCCTTTTGGCGAGCGTTTTGCACATTTCTTAGTTGTGAGTCCAAACACTCGTCTCCTACTCAGTCAGCACAGCTTTAGTAATGAGGTTGAATAGACCTAAGACCTAATGACGTAATCGCATTGTTTACATATGCGCTTTCCTATGGGAGCGAAGTCGGGGCGCCAGACGAAGTAGGGACCGTCAACCACATAGAAAAGCGCACATGTAAACAAAGCGTGACGTCATTAGGTCTCAGGCCTATTCTTGATAGATAACCTTATTCAGAAATCGGTGGATTTGTTGAACTCGGAAAAGAAGGCTCTACTACAACACTGGCTATCAATACGAGCTCAGAGCCAAAGAAAATGACTCTCTAAAAAGGTAACTACTTTTAAAATAATATGCACACAACCAGTTTACAAAATTTAAAAAATGAACATTTTAACCCAAACCCAAAACTATAAGAAAAAGACGATATGTTTGTTGATCCGAAAGAGATTTTATATGTCACCGGCTACCCAATCAATTTTTTAAAACAAAAATCGGGGAATTATATAGTTTGATATTTTCTGTATGACTGGTTTACTGGACGCTTTTTTTGCGTTGTCTTCTCACAATTTTGTTTTTGTTACAAAAACTGTTTTTATAAATACATAACAGAGGTATGTTTAGGGTTATAAGTTATAACAACTTATTTATGATTTTAAGAGCCTTGAAACAAATATTAGACCGGTCGTTGGATTGCACCAAACTAATATCAAGTTTTACCGATTGGTTGGACACTTATATTGAAAAAAATTGACTATTTTCGACATAGGCCTATATATAAGTAAACCGTGCATTTCATTATTATTTCCAGGAAAATTAGTACAAGCCTACTGCTTTATTTACAATGAAGCTTTAAAAGCTGGAATTGATAACGAATATACGAATAGAAAATAACGTTTTGGAAAAGACTCATGGATCCCCAAATCCCCATTAGATTTATATTTTATTTACAACTAACACAGATACTAGTGTTTGATAAAATTCGCTTGTATTGGATATTAAATCAAATATAACACAATATACCCTCCTCTACGACATCAACTCCACTGACGTGCCTAAATATCATTACTACTGTGTATCTACAAACGAGTACAGTCGCCAACATGGAATAGTTATGATTGCGTATAAACAAAATAGCAAATTACAGACTACACCGCATTAGTTATCCATATTATTTTTGTAAATCCACACGTTATCAAAGTGATTATATAAGTTATACCATTACAAAACAACTCTATCATCTACATAGATTTCAGTGAAATCGCCGTATAAAAAGTGCTTTTTGTTTTGAGAATTGTCTTGGGTACTCCATGCTTTTCGTCGCTATAGCAAAGCGCCCTCTGTCGGTATCAAGGATGAACATGCAGACAAGTGCAGTCATTAATGTTTGTCATTTTGTTTAGACAAACGAGGATTTTGATGTTTTCCCTCATTTTACCAGAATTTTGTCGCCTCTACTGAGTGTACCTGACACGTACCCGTACCAAAGTTTGAGGTTATGTTGTATACCTTCTATGTTTTACTGTGACAGAGAAACTGTATTCGTCACATTCCCACATCTGGAACTAACTTGTCAACCATGCCACTTCGCCTGATTTCATGAAATTGTGCTAATGAGCGGGAACGATTTATTAAAACCCATCAAAAAAGCCGGAATGATGTTCCCAATTTACAGTTACCAATAAGACATGGCTTAGATTAAAGTACCGTCGTGAAGACGTAGGTTAGCTCAAGGAACCAATTTCCATTGTATGCATGACATGTAGATACAGGATTTCCAACGGGGTAGGCCTATTTGGTTTTCATTGTATACCATTGCTGAAACTTTTATATTGCTAATCACTCATTCTTTTCTCTTTAAAGTTCCTTTGATGATAAAGAATTCCTTTTTTGAAAACTCTATAAATTTTCCCCCTCGAAAATTGATATAATTCATTACTTTGATCCACCGATATTTTCCAATACAGATACAACGGTATTAAATTAATTTTCATAAAAGGTGTAGTATGCAGGCTATTGTACCGAAGCCGGATGATACCTCCAGGATACAGATTGAGCATTGAGCTGAATATACATGTTCATTTTTTGCGTAATCTGGGCAAATCTGGCGGCCACCCAATTACTGTCTGGCTGCCGCCACATATACTTACCATCTTAAAATATTCACCCTGCCCAGTGGTACCGTCAGGCTTCCGTAGAATATGTTAACATACTAGTCTAGTAAACCAAAAAGTCTCGCTATATCATAGGCCCTAAGTCTTGATTTCGTTTCCACGGGAAACCAGTATATCCCAAAGTTTGCGAATTGCATATTAGTGATGGGTAGGGCGCCCACAGAATTACTGATAAGAATTAATCCGGGAATATCTGGACGTGATTCAAGTCCTAGTGGTTGAATTAAGTACTTTCCTGCCAGTTCTATCGTCTAAGTTGTACAGGTTTTAAGCCCGGTTTCTGCTCAACGCGATTTAAGAATGCGAGGCAAACCGCTGTGAAAAGTGTAATGGTAAAGTATATTTTGTCCTCTGTAGATGAACGCCTCACTTGGTGATGTCAAAATTTCTAGTCGCATTCGTGATCAGGTGAGGTATAAAACGGCGCTTAGAACTGGTACATTTTGTGTATTATCACCTTCATCATGGAGCTCATGCAATTCCATGTTACTGTCGTGCTATAAACCCAATTCCCGTAAAGACTAACGACTTGAATCACGTCTGTTCAAAAACGAGATCTCGCGTGGGCATCATTTCGCGCCCTGGCCCTCGCATTCGTCCATGGCGCCCAAGATGACCTTGCACATGAAGGTGTAGGCCAAACCCCAGGCCTCTTTGGCCTTTGGCGTAAACTTGTCCCCAAGTTGTTCGGTCATCACGTCCAGAAACACCGGTCCAAGGTCCTATATAAGCAACAACAAAAAAAACAAAGAAAAAGACAAAGCTTTATACTGCTGGTAGATTTACTTACGATAATTTATGTTAGATATAATCTGTAGCAGTCTGTCATTCGGCCCCAATGTGCACTATAGATAGGGGCGGGTGACGACATCCGATGGAAACATCTATTCATTTGCACACCAATTTTCATCGGTTGCTATGTGTTTACCATTCAGCACTCCAGATTCAAGAACCATTGAGTTTCAAGAACATAGGTCAGGGAGCTAGATAAGCCAATGTAAAAACTTCCCGGATGTCTGCGCCCACCTTAACTACATAGCAAAGTCATTAGGTGAACTTAACAGTCAAATACGTTTTGTTTTAGTCCATATCTGTTCATAACAAAGTACTCGTACTTGTTCTCAAACCCATTAAGAATACATAAGTATTTCTCGAACCCTCGGGAAAAAAATCAGGGAATTCCTACTCATCATTTTGTTCATTTTGTTCTGATATTTGCGCGCACTACATGTACATGTACATGGTGTACATATATTTGTAACGTAATCAACGAGTACATATTTATCAATGACGTGCCCGCTAGAGTCCGATTTGCAGGGGGAGGGACCTTGTTTTCTGGAGGGGGCACACACATTTGTGTCTGTGTGGGTGTGTGTGTGTTGTTTTTTTACCTCCGCCAGTCATCGGCGTTGGTTTGTCTGTGAAAAGGATAACTCAATATGAATGGATTTTCATGATTTTTTTTAGGGGTGGTCCTTAGTACAATTAAAATCGATTAGATTTTGGAAGTGATCCAGATTAGAGTCTAAATGCAGAATTTAAAGAAATTTTCTTTAATCATATGGAAAACTTTCACCCTGTGTGACACTGACCTGGTGACTCTGTATGCCTTATCACACACCTAATCTAACCACACAGGTTAATGGACTAGACCATTTTATACAATGGGGAGAGGAAAGGTAGACCAGTACAGGCATATACATGTAAAATGTTTAAGTTTCAAGATTTGTTCTAGAAACCACATTGGTGCTGTATGTAATGGCGGAAAATTGTTTAGCCTTGGCGGAGGTGTGCGCTCTCTGAGTGCTTTCTAGTTTGTTTTTGTTCAACAGTGAAATGCTCATTTTCAAATCTAAGCACGTGGAGGGGTTGGCAAAGACAATGTGCTTGGTTGATGGATGGTTTTCAAAAGGTATTCCCGACCCCCAAGTACGCCAATAATATTAATACAGACAGGCATAATTGTACATGTAGTCAAGTGTCCGAGTATGCATCGCCTGAACACCAATTCGTGTCCGATCGATACGGTATCTCTCAAACGCGCAAGCGGCTAAAAATAGAAACGAACTGTAGAATCAACAGGTGAATGTGACGTTACTATAGCAACCATAAATAACAAGGTTACAGTAGATTAATGTGCTTGTCACGCTCTGCTCACTACCGACATCAAATAAATGAATAAAAAACAAATAGAAAGCACAAATCTGCGAGCCCCAGCAGGTTGTTCTGTTCGTCCTGTACCGCTCCAGACACGCCACTTTATGATCCTCTCTGCGGGGAACTCACAAAAGCACTCCTCAAGAAAATGTTACTCAGTTAATACCTAAAAATATCTTCTTACCGAAAAAAATAATATCGAGGCCAGGCAAAAGCCGTGGGAACCCATTAGATCCTCTGTTAAACCGATGTGTTCCGGATTTCTTTTTCAAACAAATAATCCTGCTCTAATTTGGGGAGCTAGGTGGTAGAATTTGACTCAACCTGAAGCACCTTGCCACTCGGCGGATCGCTATAGCTATTTGATTTTTTTAGTCCGGATATCGGCGGGAGAGCAGTTATTATTGGCCCACACGGCAAATATTTTGGGCTAACTCGGGAAAGAATGTGATAAAATTGGCACCCCGCGTGCTCGTTACTCAGAAACGTCAGTGTCTGCGGTTTGTTTTTTACTTGATACTGGACGTTTTAGACAAGTAATACATACAATTCAAGCGTTGACAATGTATAACTTTTTGAGAGAAAAAAATGTAGTGAGATTTTTGCTACTACCAGACGGTCAATCCTGGTTTCCTCTTCGTATACCTATTATGCTGGGCAGTGCTATCGTATAGGATTACCTAATAACGCCAATGGACTAAATCCGCCCATGGTGTAGACCAGATGCTTGACAGACTTCCAGTGAATAGCTAGTCTGAATCAATAATTGAATAGAATGTTGTGCTCTTTTGGCCCAGCTTCATGCTTAGTATTGTTCTGACTGAAAAAAACTTAGCTCATTTGATAATAATTATCTAAAGTCTGGATTGCAAGGTTGTATCGGCGGGACACCGTGAACAAAAAATATAATTGGCATGCACTTCTCAGTAGTCCCGGCCCGGAGCCAAGCGGCCATGGGAGCGATCCAGCACGATCGAATGACCATTATGTCTCCAACCAGCTCGATTTTCCGCGGGTCTTATACGAGGTCCTCTGTCATCCGTCCAGTCCATTCTTTGATGTCCATCCAGATTCGTCTTGGACGTCCCCGCTTCTGGCTGCCCTGACAATTCCCTCAAGCATGGATAGTTTAAAATCAACAACTAGCCAAACAAACACGAGGATGGACGTTATAGAACCGAGGAACAAAATGTGAAACTTGCACTTTTATTGGTGCCATAATTAACCTTACTTTGCTCTATACACAGACAACCCAATCAGGCCGACCTTTAAACAAACATCGAGGTTTGTAGGTGATACATTGTTGCGGGTCTTCCTTGCTTTATGCATAAAGTGACTAGGACCAGAAGAGATTTTACAAAAGACTATACGGCAGGTACAAAGACGACTAGCACATTAAGCACAAACTGTAATGACCGACAAACAGAATATCAGTTGGAATTTTGAGTCCCCCTCCCGTAGAGAACATCGACACCTGTGGAAGTCTACACTTTGACAGGTGTGTGGCGTGGAATTTATTCTTACGCCACGAGTAAAGCCTTGGGTAGTCCCACTTAATGCGCGGCGTGTTATTGTAGTTCAACTCCAAACAATACCAAAGACTTGGGGATCAAGTCGGGTCAGGGTGCATGGGTAATGACCATGACTGTCTTCCTAGGTGGTAGGTGGCTATTTACTGGAGGTGTGAAGGGCCTGAGGCGTCTGTTTGAAGTCTGAGTGTCTGTCCTGTTCAGCTTCCTGCTTTCTTGGTTGGGTGCTTCGTAGAGCAATGAACAGTGTTTCTGCAGTATGGCCAAGGCTGGTAGGCGAGGTAGCATGGTAGGACCGTTTGATGGCTGTTTACAAAATAGTCTTTCAGGAATCCTAAAAAGTGTTATAGGTTTGTCGTCACATCATATAGGATCGTACGGGTGGTCCTACTTGGTAAAGGCCAATCGGTATAATTAAGGATCCTATATAGGAACCTGTAGGGGATGACCGTCAGAACCTTTAAAGATAGACCATGTACCCTGTGACGTCATGCCGGCAGCATTGCAGAAGAGAACCGTTTGCTGAAAATCGGCATCACGTGACCGCAACATCCAGTTTTATATTAAAAAAAAGTCACATGGTCTTTAGGATTCCCATAAGCCTTTGGTGCTTGGCGGAGTGGTTTCTTTCCTTCACCATTTGCGGAGTTGATTAAACACGCACGATGTTTAGCTTTAATTCCCCCTTGATTAAAAACAAACGCACAGTGATACAGTTTTTTTTAGTTTTGGTGAGTTGAATTGCTGGCTAGCTGTCTGCTACTTCGGTAGCTTTCGGACACAAGACCTAAAGACCACCTTGATTTTCAAAGTACATGTAGCTAGTTACATGGTGACACGAGCAAAGACGACACATCACGCGCCGTAATCTAGCCTTGATTGCAAGGCTGTGTAGATGCTGTATCAGCGTGCACTCATCGCTGGCCGTGCATAGCCTACCCAAACCCCGATCCGTCACACCATGCAAGGCCCGCAGTGTATACTGTGCGTACACAGTGTAATATTGTACGCGCACACGCACTGCCTCCATGCAAATCCCGGCCATTGAGCTACATGTTTTAATTACTAGAGCGCTGACTCGATGTACAATGTGATGCCTGCTATACTGGACGCATCCACGGTGCACAAACCTATAGAAAACTTCTTTTTGTTTTACGGCTTTTGTACGGCTGTACTTGCATATCTGCGTTTGATTCTATGCAGTTGCGTTATCGAAAAGCGAAAGCACAATCAGTAAATGAGCGCCAATTTTGCTCTGCGCAAACAACGCAAACGCGCGTGACCAGCGATGCCCGCTCGCTGATACAGCACACACACAGCCTTGCATTCAAGGTTAGCCGAAATCTCGTAGCTTCGTTTCAGATCGGCGCGTAGTCTCCGTTCAATTCGCTTTGCAGTCGGCTTCGCTGCTCGACCAAGTTACTGATTCGGACGAGGGGGACTGGTTTGCTAGTTTGTGTAAATAGGTCGGCCATCTTGCTGTGTGGTTGATTGCGTGATTGGCGGACTGATTGGCCTTTTTTCCCCAGCGTTTGTTGATTGGTCTATACTTGGGCTGATTCACCGTTTTGGCCTACTTTTCGGATGGGTTTGGGACAGGTGATAAATCAGCCTTGTGATGGATGTTTTGACTAATCTGTAACGCAGTTGTTGAATGTTGTCAATGGAAAGGAATTTCTGGAGCCTGTGGGCCTAAAAAATAGATTATCTTCAAAAGCCAGTGTTAAAATGGGTCACATAAAAGGCTGTTTTGACACTTTTTCCGACATAAAATGAAAGAAATACTCGTGTGAAACAAAATTTAAAAAATAACTCGAATACATGTATAGTACAGTCAACTACTATACTCTCTCACAAACTGGGATAAACAGGTCAACTGTTTATTGGTAAATTTACTTTCTAATCTAAATTGGCGTGAACTATAATGTTACACTGTTCAACTTAACTCTGGCCCTTGTTTAAGAGCCTGAATTCTGTTAAAATATTGTGCCTGCAGGCATTCGATCGAAAATTTATATTGCCGACAAGGGTCCAAG